CATGTACAATGCCTTTTATTAAGGATGGTGAAATCGTAAGAGTTCCGGATTCAACGGTTTATACTGCTGTTCAATAACAGTTTACAAAACATTTTAGCGGAATATCTTTTAATTCAGAAACTACAGGAAATAAAATTACCATATATAACAGATGCTAAAAGAAATTAAATCAAAACGCACATTATTTACGTCACTTAATGATTTAATGACTTATTCATTAATATTCCTGCACCAACTACAGCATTTGATCCAAACTCGACGGTTTGCAGTGTACCTTTCATAAAGGACAGTTCATTAATTGTTTTAAGGGATTCAAACAGTTAATGAATCATTAAAGGCGTCATTAATGAAAATCATTGATTTTAACTCATTCACGAATACATATAATTCATTCATTAATGTTTCATATGCTTCTAAAGAAGGTGAGCCAAAAACTATCGATAAAGCGGTGTATGAAATAAAAGCATCAACGACGAAAATTGAATTCGTTAACTTTTGACGGTGATAGTTTCGTTAATGACATAACATCGGGGAAAACAATTTTAACGAAAAATATTTAAAATCTCATGTTAGTGAGTTCGTTGAAATTGAAAAAAGAAGGTGGAATTAAGTTCGATCCACTGAATTTCATTTTCAGCTTAGCGAATGCGGGTGTTAGTTTCGCTGAATGGACAACTATACAGAGTGAAATAAATGCAATATGGACGTTTTTTGGGGTCAAAAGCGGAATGGGTGAGCTTGTAAATGCTGGCAAGAACATTAGGTGAAACAGGAAATTTTGTAGATGGTTTTAAAAGACTTGTTTCAAATGTTTTAACAAACACAAAGAAATTATTTAGATATACCATACATAACGGACGGATTTTCGAACAGGTAGCAACAAACCTCCGGTTATGGCTGCGTTGATGATGGTTAGAGATATAAAACCACGTAACGACGGGAACGAAGAACATGAACAACAGAGCCCAACGGGCTCAGAGCCACATAGTGGCGAGGATACTGGTCGGGTTATTCAAGACATTAAAAACGTGTATCCTGAAGTTATTGATTTTATTTAGAGGAGTTAATGATTCAATTTCAAACATTCTATAACCCTCGATGAAGAGAATAAATTAACAGATTATATATCGTCATTATTGCAGAATTAATGAAGAGAATAAATGAAAAAGGAATTGTGATATCATTAATGTCAGCGATGTATGATGAAAAGAAATTTTGACTCATTATTTACAAAACCGCGAAAAACAGAATATAGTCTTTTGACGTAATTACCGAATTAATGAAAAAAGATTAATGATAATAAAGTTCTGGCGGAAGAGTTGAATTAGAAGTGAATGATGTTAATGAGAAATTAGCCGAAAAAGCAGATAAAAAACCATGTTCATTATATAACTTCAGACGAACAGATTATAACGGACTACCATGGATATTTAACACGAAGTGATGAAGTGAAGACAAAAAATGTTAATGAAAGAAGATATAAATACATTCGTGCTAAAGGTTATGACATAAGCTGTACTGTACAGTATGATGTAGCTAAAGCACCAGAAGCATTTGGTTATAACGATGAAATTTATGCCTCTACTTTCAATGTTAACGGTGTATTAGTTGAACCAAGATTTACTTTGAGAGTTAAGTCAAAAATAACGTTTGAAGATGCTATTAAAAGTAAAGCTGAACAAAGTTGAACTCGAAGCAACGAACAAAGTTTTGAAATCTCATAAACACAACATCTCCGATATAAATGAACTTCAAGCTACATTAGACAGTAAAGCTGACAAGAACCATACACATAAATCCTTCACTACTGTTAGAGCAGACGACATAATATTGAACTTTGACCTTGGTTCAAGTGCACCATTAGAAAATCCAAGTACAAGCGTAAAAGATACTCTTAACAGTTTAGATAACAAGTTGCAGGAACATTGAAAGTCATGCCAGAAACTTTGAAGCATATGAACTACCCAGCAATGTTAGATAAGAAAGCAGATAAGAACCATACACATGATTCTTCACAACTGTTGGTATAGAAAGTATTGAAGGAACGGTTGAAGAAACTGGTGGGGATGCAATATATTGTAAACCTCCTAACTTTCCACAAGGTTTAACATCGGATGACGACATAACGACGATGAGAAACATTAGATGTAAAGATGTTATGTCATGAAGGATGAACATAATATTAAATTCACTGCTCAAGATTTATATGACAAGAAAGCCGACAAGAACCATACACATAAATCCTTCACTACTGTTAGAGCAGACGACATAATATTGAACTTTGACCTTGGTTCAAGTGCACCATTAGAAAATCCAAGTACAAGCGTAAAAGATACTCTTAACAGTTTAGATAACAGTTGCAGGAACATTGAAAGTCATGCCAGAAACTTTGAAGCATATGAACTACCAGCAATGTTAGATAAGAAAGCAGATAAGAACCATACACATGATTTCTTCACAACTGTTGGTATAGAAAGTATTGAAGGAACGGTTGAAGAAACTGGTGGGGATGCAATATATTGTAAACCTCCTAACTTTCCACAAGGTTTAACATCGGATGACGACATAACGACGATGAGAAACATTAGATGTAAAGATGTTTATGTCATGAAGGATGAACATAATATTAAATTCACTGCTCAAGATTTATATGACAAGAAAGCCGACAAGAACCATACACATAAATCCTTCACTACTGTTAGAGCAGACGACATAATATTGAACTTTGACCTTGGTTCAAGTGCACCATTAGAAAATCCAAGTACAAGCGTAAAAGATACTCTTAACAATTTAGATAAGAGTTGCAGGAATACCGAAGATCATGCCAGAAACTTTGAAGCATATGAACTACCAGCAATGTTAGATAAGAAAGCCGACAAAACAGAGCTTCAAACATTAAAGACAGAAATACTTCAAACATTATATCCTATAGGTTCTATTTATACGTCAATGAACTCAACAAATCCAGCAACAGTTCTGGGTTTCGGTACGTGGGAACAGATTGTAGATAAATTCTTATACTGTGCTAGATATTCAAAGCAAACAGGAGGTTCGAAGAAAATTACTGAAGCAAACCTTCCACCGCACACTCATACAGGAACGACAAACTTTTCTGGCGACCATAGTCACTCATTAAGAGACCATCCATTATACAACTCAGAATATGAAGCTGGCAATGACGTTTTATCTCCATCTTATAACAATGCAGCAAAAAAGACTTTTCGACCAACTGAACCAGGAGGAAATCATTCACATACTTTCACAACAAATCCAACAGGCTCGGGTGCAGATTATATGCCACCATTTATGACTGTATTTGCATGGAATAGAGTTCAATGAACGCGCTTGAGCCTAGAATAAAATCTTTAACTTTACATAAATGAGCTTGAAAGAAGTATTCGAACAACATCCATGGAGGTCTTTTAAGAAATTCAATGAAGCTGCAAAGAGTTCGGGATTTACTAACAGAGCTGAAGTGAAAAGGTTCTTTGACAAAAATGTTGTACATCAAACAAAAATAAATCCTTACGACTACTTTTTACCAATTTACTCCAACACTCCTGACGCATACCAATTTGACACTCTCATTCAAAGCAGAAAAGGAGGACATAAACCATTCCTCATCTTCATAAATGTTAACACTCGTAAAGCATATGCATATCCAATGAAAATAAAGGAACTCGTGAAGTGTTAAGAGTTTTACAAAAGTTTGTAGCAGAACATAGCCCAAGTACTTTAACATCAGACCAAGACAGTGCATACCTCAGCAATGAAATCACAGAATTTCTCATTAAGCATAACATAACTCACTACACTACTGAAGACCATAACCATAACATACTCGGTATCATTAACCGCTTCATAAGGACTCTCAGAGATTTAAATCAAGAGCGAGACTTTACCGAAGAAACAATGAAACATTTTCTCGAAGTATATAATTCCTCAACACATTCTACAACAGGACATACACCAAATTCAATGACACAACAACAAGAAGAAAAGTATATACAAAAGAAACTAAGTCAAACACAAAATATCAGAAATTCAAAACAATTTACCCTCATTCCTGGTACAAAAGTTCGTGTAGTTCTTGACGACAAACCATTGACAAAGAAACGTTTAAGGTTAAGTCGAAATTATTATATCGTAGACTCTACGCAAGGTAATGGATATCTTATAAAAAGCTGCTGACGACTCCATAGCATTTTACCCTCGACATAAATTAGTCGAAAGTAGTAATGGCAAACTTGCTGAAACCATTGACGAAGCAAAGCGAGGAGTGGTTATTGAAATACTTGACTACAACACAAACGATGACACTTATAAAGTAAGATATGAAGGAGGCGTTGAAGATGTTATACCATCTAAGAACTTGAGAGAATCTAAACCAACTCATCTGGGACCATTAGAGCGGGAGTACTGGAAAGATAAAAACATGCCAGAAAGAATAAGAAAATTCTTCTAAACTTTTCGTTGGATGTAAATCAGACATGAATGAGAACAGTCATGATATCATTAATGGTACCATTTATTTTTGTCATAAATTTACACCAAAAATATAATTGAGGTGAAGAGGTGAGATTTCACCTGTTTTCTCACCTCTTTTTTCACCTCTTGAACTTTTTATAACATTCGGTCATAACTTCATCAATTTCATTTAAATCACGATTTAAAAACTCATTGACTTCATCTTCAACCGTGTCATCTTGTAATAAGAATATTTTCTTTAGTTTCATGTCAACATCCCGAACAGCACAAAGGATAAAATCATATTCATTTCTTCCGTTAAACATACTTTTTCTTTCTCGTTCATCGTTAAATAAATTATTGAAAATATAAACAGCGGTGTAAAAGTTATGTACTGTGTTAAATGTTGAAGCTTCACCTATTTTAGATTTTAGGATTCTTTTAGTAAGTAAATTGTTATCGTTCTTTCTCTTTTCCTTATCGTTCATGTCGAATCTGTCGAACCACATATCCTGTATTTCATCGAATTTACGAACTATAGAATCCGTCATTTCCCTGGTTAATGAGGGGTAATCATTATTAATTTTTTCATATAATTTGTCCATATGATTTTCATCGACGTTTCCGGAAAGCATTTAATTAAAGCAAAAATATATTATAGGTGAAGAGGTGAGATGTCACCTCTTTTTTCACCTGTTTTCTCACCCCAGTTTTTCACAAGCGTTTTACATGAATTGTACGATGTATATTTGAAATCCTAAACAATTTCGTAGCTTCTATTTCTTCTGTCAGTATGTCAAAAGTTTTAACAATGCCGAAAGTTTCTTTATATTTCTTCTTGACGTCAGATAGAAGGAAATCGTCAGCAGTTGGATAGTTTTTGTTCAGAAATGCTAACATGTCCATTTTATTTTCTGCTGGCTTTTCTGCTTCTTTCTTTAAGTCTGCATAGTCGTTTCGCATTCTTTCTATCTCTTTGACGGAGTAGTTATATTTCCTAATTGCTGCTTTACATTTAGAACATTGCGGATTCATTTTTGCGTTATATTCTGAAACCTTACCTGCTAAAACAACTAAGGCGTCAATGGTTTTCTTTAACTCAAAAGCAGTTGGTCTTATCTGTTCGTTCCATATTTTACCTCTTCTATCTTTATCTCTTATCTGCCATACACATTCAGCAACTAACGAAACAAAGTTATCGTAGGTCTTAAACTCCCCGGATTTATATATGTCAGAAACATTCTTATATACCATGTCGCAATCTTTGTCCATAACCTTATGGTTGCAATGAAATCCTAGAAACTCATAGTTTACCTTTCGAATGAACTTCTTTATTTCTACTGAGTCAGTTGGTTTCACTTCTATTTCATCGAATTCAGGAATAGTTAGTTTTTGATGCTGAATTTCAGGTAGTTTAGGTAAATGGTCAATAATGTCCTGCATTTCATAAAGATACTGTTCATTTGTTTCATCTTTCGCACTACAGTCTAAATTACTTGTTAAAAGTTCTTGCTTTATCTTCTGGATTTTTGTTTCGAAAGTATATGAAGAAGGAATGAAGCTTTTCATCTCTACTAACATAGATGTTGGATTCATGACTAACGAGTTTGGTGAAGTTGTTGTGGACAGAGTCCCGCCGTTCGCGGCTTGAATTGTTGTTGTGCCGATTGTTGAAATCATATCTTTACATACAAAATAAAAAAATAAATAAAAATAAAACTAACGTTATTTTTCTATCTTAAGGAAATTCATGAAAATTCAAGATCTCGCCGCTTAGCGGCTGAGGGTGAGAAATTAGGTGAAAAAAGAGGTGACATCTCACCTCTTCACCTATAATATATTTTTGGTCATTTACACTCATTTACGAAGAAGTTATGACAAAGCATTTACGAAGAAGTTATGACAAAGTCACGAGGGTGAAAAAAGAGGTGAGAAAACAGGTGACATCTCACCTCTTCACCTAAATTATATTTTAGGTCAAAGCTTCCACGAGAGAAAAGATTCCTCATTCGCTAAGGATTCCAAAAATGAAAAAATCATTGATTTCGGCTGAGAAAAAACAGCAAAACCCTTCTTCCACGGGAACAAAGAAATAAAGAAGAAATAAAGTAAATTTTTTATTTATTCCCGTGGAAGATAGAGCACTTTTATGACACTTTTTATTCACGACAAACAAGACAAATAAAGAAAATAAGAAAATACGGCGCTGTCGCGGTTCGAACCACAGACCTTGACCCCTCCATAACACCACCTTAGACCACTGTGCTACGTAGCCTGTCGACATAAGATTTTATAAATTGCATATTTGACGTAAATTTATTTCCATCTGGCTTCCCACTGCATAAGATATTCATACGTGTTTGTAAGACATTCATTAAACTTCTTTTCTATTGCATCTAATCTTGCGTTATTTTTTTCAATAACTTGTCTGTATTCTTCATCATCTCCAGCAGTGTTTGGGTCTTCACGTTTAAAATATTCATTGTTAACCAATTTTTTATCTACAAATTTTATTAGTGTTTGATTCACTTCGTTATGATAACGGTCATATTCTTTCAATACGTAAGTGAAGACAAAATGCGTCGTACCTTCAATCTTAAAGCTTAAAGAACTTTCAACACAGTTTTGAGGGTCTGTCAGTGCGTCAATGAGATAGTATTCGAAGTCAGTCAATAATCTTTTTAAAGTCATTTCATACAGGATAAAATTTAATGTTGTGAAGAAATAGTGTTTATCTCAGAAAAAATAAAGTTAGTTTTTATTTTATTTATTTTTTTATCCTGTATGTAAGAACAGTAATGTCAACATTAGAGAACACAACAACTGCTATCGTTCATGAAGCCATAAATGAAGAATACGAATACATACAATATAACAAACAATTGAGACTCATTCGTTCAGTCAAAGATGATATGTATCAAATGCAAAGTATAATGAACGCTCTTCGTTCTACAAAGCAAGCATATCATTGGTTTGAAAACCAACAGGCAAAAGAACTTTTAGAAGAATTTCCTCATATGATTGCTTCCCTCGGAAAACCGAGGGAAGAGATTCCGTACGAAAATCGCAAGAATTTGGCACCTGGTTTGAAAGGTTATTATGTTCATAGACTTTTAGTAAATGCTGTAGCAATGTGGGCTTCACCTCGTTATGCTTGTTATATTTTCATGATGTTAGATGAACTATATAAAGCAGAACGTGGAGAGATGGAAAAGAAACTTCAAGCAAAAGATGAAGTCATTGAATCCAAAGACAAAAGCATACAGAAAAGAATACCACGTTCAGTACCAAAAGGAAAGGAAAAGAGTTATAAGTATATGATTTATACTGAAGAGTTGGAGAAAGAAGAAGATAGAGATATGGTTATGTTGCATTTAGTCAGAAGAAACAACAAAAGCTTTTACGACCTTGCTAAAATATATAAATCTGACAGAAACTGGTTCTATCGTGAAAACTTACCGATTTCAATGACACCGAATGAGCAAATAAAAGAAATTGTCAAAAATACTCTTCCTCAAACACACTATGACATCAAAGGTTGCACAATACTTACCTTCAAAGAAGACTTAACATTACTGAAGGAAAAAATAACAGAATATTTCGATAACTTCAAAGAGGAAGAATGAAGTCACGACAACATTAACGAAGAAGTCACGACAACATTAACGAAGAGAGAATGAGGTGAAAAAACAGGTGATATCTCACCTCTTCACCAAAAATATATTTTTGGTTAAATAGCTTCAGGGTCAATTTCTTCAACCATTTCACTTCCTTCGTCAATGTCAATTGAAGCTTCTTCAACCTTTGGTAAGAACTTTTGTATAACATCTTTGTTCGTTATTGTCTTCAGAGATGAAGGATAATATTTCACAGATGTTTCACCCTTCTTATATTCTTTCTGTTCGGAAAGATTCATAGCAATACTGAAGAAGTCAATGTTGGAGTTCTTTATGACAGTATAGTGTGTATCTTTGACATTCACGAAGAAACCCTTTTGTTTCAAAACTACTGCTAACTCTTGTGAAGTATAACGTTTGCGGTCAATGACGATAGCTAATGGTCTGACATACTGACCAAACTTAGATTCTTTCACAAACTTCTTGTTAAAGATAACATTAACGTTTGAAGCATTATTGAACTCATTCTTGATGGCAGTAGCGAGAGCATTGTATGAAAAGAACTTGCAATCTTGCATGTGTTTCATTAAAATAAAAATATTAAATTATTTTGAAAAATAACTTAAAAAAAATCTAATCTAATTTTTTCAAAAATATTTTTTTATTTCCTACTAAAGATGTATCGGAAGTTGTCTAAGTTAGAACACTCGGAAATAAAACAACTTCTTACAGAAGCTAATATAGATGTTGCAAAGCATTACGCAACAAACAAAAAAGCACTCGCTGACTTCATTAAAGACTATAATGGTGCAATAAGTTATGATAGAATTCATGAGTTCATAAAGCCGCAACGCGGCGAGGACGAAGTCCATGCAAGAGCATTTCCTTTAAATGACATTGCTATTGACTTATATCATAGACGTTCAGTACCTCATGAAGTAAGAAGAGAGATGTTTGACATAACAAATGCAAACGTTGGTGAAACAAGAAGAGCTGTACCTCATGAAGTAAGAAGAGAGATGTTTGACATAACAAATGCAAACGTTGGTGAAACACGAAAAGAGAGATGACACACTGAAACAACAGAGAAGAGAGATGTTTAAAAGTGCTATAGAACAAGTTCGCAAAGCTAACGATGTCATTCGTTCCATTGACGACAAACCAAAAGAAGGTGAGAGATGGTTAAAGAAAGATGAAGAGAATAGGAAGAGAAATGTGAAGTCAGGCAATAGACTCATTGACTTTAACATCGAAGCTTTAGATGAACCAAACAGAGACTACTTACACAAACATTTCGGTAAGGTTTTCATGAGACTCTTAGAGAAAATTAAAATAAACTCGCAACAGAGATGGATGGTATGTTATAAACTTGGTGGAAAGTATGAATGTTCTACGTTAAACCTCAATAATATTGGAACATTACTACATCAGCTCTTGAAGGAGAACTTTATATCAGAGATAGAAGCAAATGCTGCAGGTATTGTTGAAATGCACTATGACTTCTTCTTGACAAACATAAAGAATCTTACCGAAATAAAGATGTATGATTTAACAGAATATGAAGGCTTAACGATGTCAGATGTAAAGAAAGGCAAACCAAAAAAGAGACCATATAGAGATGAAAGCACACTGACAAATGACCAGAAAGCCATTTTGGAAGCTCTTAAGCAAACAGGAAACCCAGCACTTATAGAAAGCTTTTGGAAAGATAATGGTGAAAAGAAGTTTTATAAGAAGAGAAGCGGTCAGTTCTGGAAGTATCTTTGCACATTACCTATAAATCTTGAACGCTACCAAATCTTCAATGAACTGAACAAAAGAACTGCAACACTTATGACAGAGGACAATTGTTTCGTTTATGCTTGCATTCAGGCTGGAGTAAATGAAGAAACTATTGACCACATGAGAGAAGTCATTCGTGTTAGAGACTTTCCTCAAAGTAAAGTACAAGAAATTTCCGATTCAACAGGTATAGCATTTAATGTTACCATTGGTTATTTCAATGACTCAAGACATAATGAAATAAAGAGATATATACCAAAAGAATGCGAAACTGTTAGAACTATTGACTTACTTCTTGTTGAAGACCACTACATGCTAAATGAAAGATTACCAATGACAACATACTTCATTCGAAACTATATAGAAATCTTGAAGGAGTGTGGTGGAATGAACATTGAGAAACAGATGAAGATTTATACAAAGAGAGAAGATAAATATGTAGTTCGTTATGATAGAACAACACCGCTATGGGATGTTATGAAAACATTGTGGGAGTGCAAATATTTCGAACCTATTTCTTATGGAGAACTTTTCACATATACTACTGACTTATATAAACAGAACCTTGCACCATTTAAAGATTTGACATATGCTCCAAAGTATTGTGTACAACTGAAGAAGAAAGCAGAGTCAAAAGAAGTAAATAAAGCTAAATGTAAATTCATTCCTGAGCACGTTTTCTTTGCTGACTTTGAGTGTAGTACAGATGGCTTTCATAAAGCTTTTAACATCTGTTATGACAGTGAAGATGGTTCAGTGAGTGAAAGCATTTGGGGTCAAAACTGTGCAACAGAATTTTTGGAAAGACTTCCTGACAAGAGTTTAATATATTTCCACAACCTCAGTTATGACATAAACTTCATCTTAAGACACATGACAGAAGTGAAAGGAACTCCCATCATTAAAGGTTCACGAACAATGCAAATAACTGGTTTATATAAAGGACGGGCAATTATTATAAAAGACTCTTACAGTGTTATAAATAAGAAGCTTAAACTATTTCCTGCTATGTTTAACTTACAAACAGGACCGAAAGAAGTATTTCCATATAACTACTACAGCAGTGTTTTGTTAGCAAATGACAACAGAACTGGTGTCATTTCTGAAGCATGTAAGTTTATCCATGATGCAGATACATTATGAAAACATAGATTCCATCAAAGGTTGCAGAATAGATGAAAACCACTTCGACTTAGAAAAATATAGCACGTTTTACTGCAAACAAGATGTAAGAATTTTAAGAGAAGGTTTTGTAAAGTTCCGCAATGACTTATTGAAAGAGTTTGATTTAAACGTTTATGACTACGTTAGTATTTGTTCTATTGCTAACAAATTGTTTGAGAACAGAGTATACTTCCCGAATGGAAATCTTTATGACCTCTCAAATAAACCAAGAGAATTTATTTCGAGATGCATTCAAGGTGGAAGATGTATGTTATCAGATAACATGAAACAAAAGAGCAAAAAGAAACTCATTGCTGACTTAGACACTATTTCATTATATCCTTCAGCTATAGCAAGACTTTATACTTTAGAAGGAATTCCAAAAGTATTGAAGGAAGAAATGTTAAGCACAGAGTATCTCATGAGACATTTATTCGATGACGACCAAAAGGAATCCATTGGTGAAAAGTTTATGTCTGGCTTCTTTGTTCTCATTAAGATAACAGAGATTGGTATACCCAGACACTTTCATTTAATAGTTTGCGACCCTGAACTAAATCCAGAACTTAACGTTCCAAGAAGTTCAAACACTTGCTGTCTCATGTATGTTGACCATATAACATTACAAGACCTCATAAAATATCAAGGTGTCAAATGTGAAGTGGCAAGGATACTATTACGATGGAAACAGAGATATGAGAATAAGAGATGAAGTAAAGTTGTTTGAGTTAAGGTTAAAGTATAAGAAAGAAGGAAATCCTTTGCAAGAAATTATAAAACTCATTCTGAACAGCATTTATGGCAAAACTATTCTACTCTCCTATTGAGTCAAAAATAACCATAGTAATGACAAAGATGCTATAAGATATGCTATAAGAAATTACAACCATATAGTGAAGTTCGAAGGTTTGGATGGTTCAGATAAAACTATTTTCAAGCTAACGAAAAGCATTTGCAGACACTTAAACTTCTGTCCACTTGGTGTTAATATTCTGTCTATGTCAAAACGTATTATGAATGAAGTATTCTGTACTGCAGAGGACATGGGTCTTCAATAATTTTACCAGGATACCGACAGTATGCACTTATATAATGAAGACATACCAAAGCTTGCAGCAGAGTTTAAGAAGAGATATGTCGCGAACTTATAGGAAAGAACCTTGGTCAATTTCATAGCGACTTTGCAGAAATAACACCTGGAAAACAAAGTTTAGCTTATAAAAGTATTTTCTGTGGAAAGAAGACCTACATAGACTTACTCACTAACGATTTAAATGAAGTTGCATTTACTGCAGAATGAAAGGCGTGAAGCAAGATGTTATTGCTTTAACCGCTAATGAAATGTTTCCTGAAGCTATACAATGCTATTACAATGAAGATAAGAACATTCACATACCTGTTGGAACATATGACAAAGACTCTGAGTTCAGTTTAATGAAACTTTACAAAGCACTTTATGACGGTCAAGAGATTGCATTCGACTTATGTAAGTCATGTCAACCTTGCTTTGCTGAAAAGTTCAACTTTTCAATAACGACTAAAACAAGCTTTATTCGTAAGTTGAAGTTCTGAGGTCATGGGCTTCGCCCTTGCCGCTAGCGGCTTATTTTTGTCAGCAATGAGGTCATTCGTGATAAAAATAAAGCTAGCGTAGATTTTACAATACTGCGATGGTAGAGTTTAAGAGTTGTTGCTTCAATGTAGAGACAGTCCTTCCCATCTGGAGGCAAGAACACTGGACATTTATGGTCATGAGTGGAGAACATGTCTATCCAAAACTCACGATTGAAGCCAGTTAAATTTATAGTATTTAGGGTTAGGAAGTGGTGAAGTTCTTGTATGACCAATGAACTCATTTTCAACGCCTTTGGCTATATTAGAGTAAAGTATTGCTTGCTTTCTATCCCAAATGCCAGGTGTTACAATCTTTGAAAATTCATTTTTCCTCGGAAGCATTGCATCATAATTGAAAACATTCTTAAAATCATCACTTGGTTCAGAGATTTTGAAATCTTATACGTAATGGATTTTTTTTCTCTTTAGCGACTTCATTGAATGGTGAGAATACAATGAATTGACAGTCATGAGTTCCATCTTCATTTTCATTAAATTCATAATGAAAGTCTATAAGTTGTGGCTGACTACCTTCTTCTTTCAGTTGTGCAAGAAACTCACGTAAAGGCTGTAAAGTTTGTACTTCAATGTTGAACTTTTTCTCGAACATCTCATTAAATGAAATCATACATTGCAACAATGTTGTATCGTCTTTAAAGTATTTGTATATGTGAATGTTTTGGGCGCTTAAAGACTGTTCGTCATTTTCTATCTCGACTTGAAGTATAAAGTCAACCTTTCTGAAAGCACGTGTTATATACATAGATGTTATGCCAATGTACTTCTCTTCATTTATGTTCACAATCCAGTCAGTTGGAAACTTAAACGTTACTCTGTTCCCCTTTATTTTGACGTCAGGGTTTTCACTACTGAACGCAACAGATAAAGGTATTTGTCTATACATTTAATTCGGATAAAAATAAACCATTTACTCTTTCTTTGCTTCAGCTTCCTTTGCTTTTTGTTCTTCCTTTGCTTTTGCTTCTTCTCTAGCTTTTTTCGCCAGCAAACGTGGGTTCTTCTGTCTTCCAGCAGCTAATGCAGCTAGTTGTTTTTCACTAAGTTTTCTCTTTGGTCTCTCTGGCTTTTGTTCTGGTTTTTGTTCCTTCAGTTCGGATAAAATTTGCTCGCGAATTTCTTTCTTCAATGCTTCAACATCTATGACCCCTTGGGTCTTGTCCGTAGGATTTGACTGAGTCATTTGACTGTAGATAAAAAACTAAATTAAAACTTTAACCGATGTAAAATGAGCTTGTCAAAATCAGAACGAGAGTCTATTATATTAAATGACGCCAGAGGAATACAACATCCTTTCTATTATGTAAGTCAGAGTAAAGATGGTAAAATATATGTAAGAAAAAGAAAGGTACCATTAGCGAATGCAGAGAGCGACAACATTAAGGTGCATGGCAAGGGTGAAGTCCACGAAGCCCATGTTAAGCCTTCTATTCAAACTGAAAAGTCAATAGAACCAGAAGAAAAGAAGCCAGATGTTCTTTCAATAACGAACCAAGAGCTTATTGCAAAGTTCGTGAATTTCATTGAAAAACAAACCGAGTCAAAGAACCCTGACCCACCAGTGAAAGAAGTTGAGACAAAAGGAATGTACAGTTCATTGAAAATGTCAAGAAACAACTTCCACCACGAATGCCAAGAAGAAGAGTGAGAATAATGAAGTAAATAGATATTTTTATCCGAAGTAAATACATGCAGAACGAACAGTTAAACGAATTTACTCCAGCAGAGCATATTCATCAGATTCGCTCATATTTCGATATCATAGACAATGCAGTTCAAATTGGTGACACTAATAGAAAATATTCTGACGCAAAGATTCCATCACAACCTGAACTGCTAAAGATAACACATGGGTAACATTCAATCTCTCACCTCCTGGTGAAAATATGTTGGACCTTTACAATACATTCATTACGTATAAAAATGGAAGGTCAATTTATTGTAGATAAAGAAATTGGTTCAGGTTCCAATAAAACAAACCCACCAGGATTTTGGATTGGTTTTGATGACGCTTTCTATGCAGTTGCTGGATATCAAATCCTTGCAAATGGTCGTATCGTATATTCTCAAGACAACGCAAGAGAAGAAGCATATATAACTTCAAACTCACAAACTACCGAACAAATAAAGAAAGTAGATGTTTTTTCAAAGACTCGACATGAAGATGTATGGAGTCATTCGGGAACATGCAGAACAGGACAAATTGTTAGTGGTCCAATTACAGCAGGAAAATCATTTGATTTTAAGCTTCGTTTAAGAATTCCTGTTAGAAGATTCCTTCCATTAGAAGCTATTCGATTTATTCCAGCTTTTGCAGGAAACATTCAGCTTAAAGTAAAGTTCAGTAGCGACGCCTTACAATGCACATCTATATCTGTAAATGATATCATTGCTTTCAATCCAACTCTTAAAGTTGCATTTGCTTCAGATTCAAATCCACCGACAAATAAATTTGTTCCATGGAATGAACCATTCACTATGATAACGAAGGCAGTAGAAGCTAGTGGAACAGTTACTATTACAACTGTAACCCAGCAACTATTTCGAACAAAGATGGATTTTAATGAATGTTTCATTCATCCAAAGTCATTCTCTTTAGACCCTAACATTTATACAGAACTTGTAGAACATTATACAAACGAGGCTTTATGTTTTCCTGTTAAAGTTATGGATTGGATTCCTATGGACGGTTCATTCTCAAAGAATACAGATAGTTCAAGTGCAACATTTACAGCAGCTTATACGCCTATTAATGTTAAAAGTATTTGGGCACTATTTAGAAAGAAAGACAACTATTATGTTAATTTTGAGAACCCTAAGTTTAAATATCTTCAGCTTTCCATGGGAGCTTATGGAAATATGCCTGCAGAACCTGAAAAATCATATGGACCTGTATTTTATGAAATGGTTGCGAACGCCTGCAATACAAACAATGATATGATAGGATTTAATGAAGATGTTATGAGGTCATTGGTGGATGATGGTAGTGTGGAACATAAATGGGATAGCTATGACAACACACATTTCTTATGTGGTTTTCCAACAGAAGTGGACTTTTGCTTCCAGCAAGGTCAAACATCTACTGCTCCAATAACATACAAATTGTCTGTTAAAGGACCTATTGAACTAGCAACTGAAAACGTACCAAAGCCACTTATTGGATTTATGAGGGATTGTTGCTTTGCAATACAAGTAAGACAGTCAGGCATACCAATAATAAGACTTGACGACTATAACTTAGCAACTGACGACAGTGAAGAATAAAGGATGAACGTTTATTTTTAAAGCTTATAAATGAGTTCTTCATCAAGCTCTCGTGAACCTTCACCATCTATGAAACAAACTTTACCAAACGATTATGGAGCACCTATTGAATATTTCTTACGAGCTGCACAATGGCAAAGAGCAGTCTCACCAAGGTTAGGTGTTCCACCAGCTCCTGTCAAAAATAGCATTTGGTCAAGTCCTTATATAAAATATGGTCTCCCACTAGGTTTGCTAGCTACAGCAGGAGCAGTAATGATGTTGAAAAGAAATAAAGCAAATGTTATAAATAATACTGAAGTAGCTGAATTTGAACAAACTCCGACACCATCGCCAAAACCAACGCCTTCACAAGCAAAACCTTCAATGACTCCTGAACCTATGAAAGTACAAACTCCTGTTCAAAAGTCAACTCCTAAACCGACTCCAACATTTAAACCAGAACCTACGCCTCAAATAAATCGTAAAACTCCTGCGTTTCCTTACTGAAAAAAAATAACGTTAGTTTTATTTTATTTGAACATTTTATTTAGAGTAAAATGACGACTAAAGTCACTGAAGCAATGAAACAAAAATTTTTGGTAGAATACATTAAATCAGGAGCGGTTCCAGAAGGTTTTTACGTTCATACTATGAAGGATGGTAGAGTTCAGTTTAGAAAGATAAAGCAACCATTAGATAGAGAAGGTATATTAAGGAAGATTAAACTTCATGAGGACAACATTGCTGAACTTAGGAAGAAGTTAGAAGAGTTGGAGAAAGGAAGAGAGTTATAAAGCAATGAATTCATGAGGTGAAAAAAGAGGTGAAAAAAGAGGTGAGATTTCACCACTTCACCTAAATTTATTTTTGCGCTATGTTTTCATACGTGTGAGGGTGGTGATATCATTAATTTTAAGTTTATTTTTTTATTTTATTTTTTTATTTTATTTTTTATTTTATTTTTATATAAATGACGAAAACTATTGAGATAACAAACTACAACGGTCATGAGTTCAAGAATTTGTTCTTCGTTCCTCGTGAAAATACATTCTATCAGATACGAGGGAGAAAGGGTAAAGTTAGTTTGAGCGTTTATGACTACAAGCATAATGGAAAGTTTATACAAGCATATGATACAAACGGTAAGCGTGTTTCATTAGCTTTGTCAAAACTTACAGGTATAAACTATGACAGTGATTTTGACCTATATGAAGAAGAAAGTGAGTCAGAAGATTATGAGCTGTTATATGAAGCACAGCAATGGGAGGAGTTGCAATACTTTTGTAAGTGAGAACGTTTATTTTTACATTAGTGAGGTGAAGTGGTTGGCGGCTTTGTAAATATTTAAGGTTAAGTTAGTGTTGTCGTTTGTATTGTAAAATATACGTTAACGGTTTTGTAAAGTGTCAAATTCACATATAATGGGTACGGTGGAACGCAGTGCCGTCGTACCCTTGATATGTATACTAACTATAAATGAGTTCAACGACTGAAAGCGCATGGGCTAGTTTTGATGAAGACCCTAAACCGCGGAACTATAATAGAATTGTAATTCCTGTAGGTCTTTTATTAGCTGCAGGTGCGGTAGCTGGACCATATTTATACAGAAATTTATATAGAATGCCGATTAATCAAACTGCCGTGGCTGATATTATTCCAACAGGTCTGAAAAAATCTACACTGTTTCAAGCAATTAGCCAGCGCATAAGGCGCCACGACCCACTCCCACGTAGTACGCCCGCAGTTAATTATTTAAAGAATAGAAGAAATTAATTTGTAATAAATGACGTCGTTAAATGTAAAAATAATTTGTGATGATATTACTATCATTGATGATGTAAGTAAATGTGCTAATATAATTGATAGAATTAATGAACTAATAAAGAGGTTCAGTGGTGAAAAAGTCAGAGTTTCATTAACGTTTAGCTCCGATGAAAAATTTTATGAGTTAATCATTATGAGAAATGATTTTAATAAGCATTAAATGGTATTTTCAACACTATCAGCTTTGTATGGAGGTTATAAAGCTATTGACGGTTTAACTGGTGGAGCTGTATCAAAAGCTTTAAAAAATAATGCTGGAATGCTTGTGGGAGCTGCTGCCAGAAAATTAAAATCTGAAAAGTTAAAGAAATTAGGTAACTGGGTTGCTGACCAGTCGCAAAATCTTTTAGGTGAAGATAATGAAATATCTAAGCAGCTAAAAGATTTTAAAGGTCAGTTGAATGGTGAAGAGTTTAAATTAAATTCGCTTAAAGAAAAGGAGAAACAGCCAGAATATCCACCAATTGAGGCACCGCCGATTAATTCAGCACCAGCACCAGCGCCAGTAACTGCGGTCGCACCATATGACCCTGGCGGTTATGGAAGACCTTTTGACCCTAAAACAGGAGGTTCGAATTGGTTTCATTACGGTCGAAGATATATTTTAGCTAAAATCGCAAAAACAAAGAAACTGTTAAAAACTAAAAAGAAACCAAGAGTTTTAAAGTAATTAAATGGTTAGAGATGTTCTCGAATACCCTGCACCACCTGAAACGCCTAACAATAATGATTTATATAATCGATTGAAAACTTTAGGTAAAGCGTATTTATGGTTTAATTATCCTTATCATATGGCGGCTTATAAACTTTATAAACACTATAAAGAAAGTAATAGACCTTCAACCGACCTAGTTGATCCGCAGGAATTAAGGAAAAGACGACGAAGCCGCTAAGCGGCTCAGATGGACTCAGAGAGTCCTAATAAAAAATAAAGTTAATTTTAAAAATATTTTTTATTTTTTACTTTTAATAAAATGAGTACTAAAATTACTGAAGCAACAAAACAAAAGTTTTTAGTTGAATACATTAAATCAGGAACTATTCCGGAAGGTTTTTATGTTCATCAAATGAAAGATGGTAGAGTTCAATTTAGAAAAATTAAGCAGCCATTAGATAAAAATGGTATTTTGAGAAAGATTAAATTATATGAAGATAATATAGCAGAACTGAAGAAGAAGTTAGAAGAATTCGAAAAATCAGATTAGATATAAAATTTTATTTTTATATAAAATGAATTTTACTAATAAATTATTAATTATCGTTTCATTACTCCTCATCTCCCGTGAAGCTCGTTTATGGTATGAATCTTTAACGTATGTGGATGACACTGATGATGACATCCCTGAATCATGCCAGCATATTTACTGTTGAAAATTCACAAGGTTAGAAAAGACCCAAAGGGTCTGAGCCACTAAGCGGCGAGGTTAGAAATGAGGTTAGATATCGGGTTAGATCTACCCTAAGCCGCGTAGCGGCGAGATGGGCTCAAAGAGCCCTCTAAATTAATTTTATCATTTATGAAAAATTTAGTATATACAGAAATTAAAAAATTTTTGAGTTAATTTATTTTTAAGTTTATTTTTTTACTCTGGGTGTTAAAATCTATGATAAAAAAATAAATAAAAAATTTTAACGTCAATTTTTTAAAGTTTATTTTTTCAAAAATTATTTTTTTTATTTTGTGAAGTGTCAAAAATTTTAACGTTAATTTTTAAAGTTAATTTTTAAAAAATTATTTTTTTTATTTTTGTAAATGTCAAAATATTTTAACGTGTCAAACGGTTTTTGTAAATTCTAGTAATTTGAGTACTAAGGGGTGTAGACCCTTGGTACCCAATTACTAGATACTAACTAAAGTTTCTCCCATTTGTAGTGGAGATGGAAGGCTTTGAGGTATATTGTATTAATATATACCCCAAAGCCTTCCATCTCCACTTGAAAGTTACAAAACTTTGGGTTAATGTCTTGCAATTAACCCAAAGTTTTGGAACTTTCTGATAGGAATTGCAGGGTAAGAGGTATATAGTATGAATATGTACCTCTTACCCTGCAATTCCTTCATAAAATGGGAGAAACTTTGTCCGAATAGTTTAACATTCGGACAAAGTTTCTCCCATTTTATGAAGGAATTGGAAGCTCTGAGATACTGATGAAATGTCAGTAACTCATAGCCTCCAATTCCTTCCTGAAACTTATAAAAGTGGGCCTTAAATGCATATTAAATTTGACATGTAAAGTCCACTTTTTGTGAGCGGGGATTTGACGGAGTCAAATCCCCTTTTTCGTTTATTACATTTGTCTACGTTCAAAAACTGCTTCATCGTTAATAACTTTTCGAGCACGAACAAATTGCTTTGTAGTGTAATTTTCAAAAGCTCTTTGTTGTGCAGCTCCAGTTAGAATGTTTTTAATTGCTAAATTTCTATATGGTGTTTATTTTTGGACAGATGACGTATTTCTTGTAAGAGCCTGAGCTGTAGAAGCTTGTTCAACATATAAGTCGTGTGGGAAGTCACTATTTTCACGTTCCATTTGAGGATCTTCTGGTAAGACTGAAGGAATTTGAGGATCAATTTAACCAGTTGTTCTGGATGTTTTCATGACTTTAGGTAAATTATGAAAGCTTGAGCTTGACCTTTGGAAAGTTGAAAGCTGTTTTGTCCAATTTTGAGGAAGAGTCATTTAGAAAAACAGGTAAAAATTGAAATGCGTCGGTTTGTAAATTTTGTGATAATCCCATAGAATATTCACAATTGCATATCAAATATTTAAATGGAAATATGAACTGTCCCAACAAATCTATATGCTCGCAAAATGCAAAAGAAAAGTTAGAATGATCAATTTAAAAGTGACAATTTGAGAAAAATATTTCAATTCAAAAGTAAATTGAAAGCAATATTAGTTATTGCTTATTAAAATATGTTTAATATTTGATGTGTATTTATTTTCAGCAAATTGCTTCTGTAAATTTTTTTACTTCATGTTCTCAATTTCTTTTCTTATGTGTTTTTATAACATTGTTTGTTCTATAAAGTGCATGCGATATTTTGAACTTATAATTTCGATCATTTTAATTCAAAATTCCTCAAATACGTTAGGTCAAATTATATTGAAATTTAAAATATTTCAAAAAAATCTCAATGTTTTGAAATATGTGCCTTTATAATAATAAAGCAAGAAATTATTCGGATCAATTTATAAAATATTAAACTTATTTGATGTTTCTCATTTATTGATATCATGGTCTCGCAAAACAATAGTTCATAGGCATTTCACTCTCAAGTATATATTTTTCAAGAAAAATATATTCGATAACACTCAATAATGGGAAAATTCTTTATTGAACATCAAAATCGAACTAATAACATAAAATTAATAATATTGTATTATTTAAAATTGGTTTTTTCTTGCAAAAAAATTCAAAATCTTAATTTTAAATACAAAATTAAAATATTTTACCCAGCAATTTTTAATTTCAAAAAATTCTTGGATAAAATTATATTAGGGATGCGTTAAACACGCCATTTGACCGGGCGTACATTTTTTTGTTCGCCCAAAAATTTCGCCATTTGAGAAATTCAAAAATTAAAAATAAAATTTTAATCTTGATTTTTTTATTTTCGTGATTTTTTTGAAACTTACATAAGCGATGAAATACTTTTTTTTAAGTAATCGTTTATTATATATAAATATATCTTAATAAATTTAATTCCTTAAGGTAGTGCGTGTTCAAATTTAAAATCTCATACAATATTTTCTTAATGGCGTATTTTTCTGAGGTCGCCCAAATAAAGGCGAATTCAAAATTGAGAACTCCAAGGCGTATGGCGAGTATTCAAAAAGTACGCCACTTACAAAATATTGAATGTGGATTATCAATTTTTTGGCGTGTTCAATTTCAAATTTTGATATTTATGTTTATTTTATTCAGTATAATGCTAAGAATTAAAATATAAAATTCATAGAATTTTTTCTTTGAAAATCTTTTACATTTTTATTAGACCACTCCTAGACTAGTCATCAGGTTATCCTCAGATCATCCTCAGACTACTCCTTATCAGATTACTCATCATCCTCAGACTACTCCTTATCAGATTACTCATCATCCTCAGACTACTCCTTAGACCCCTCCTCATCAGACTACTCCTCAGATCTTCATCATAAGACTCCTCCTCAGATCTTCCTCCTGAGACTACTCTTCAGACTACTCCTTAGAGTCCTCCTCATCAGACTACTCCTCAGATCTTCATCATAAGACTCCTCCTCAGATCTTCCTCCTGAGACTACTCTTCAGACTACTCCTTAGAGTCCTCCTCATCAGACTAGTCCTGAGACTAGTCCTCAGACTACTCCTCAAACTACTCCTCAGTCTAATCCTCAGACTCCTCCTCAGATTATCCTCAAACTACTCCTCGGTCTAATCCTCAGACTCCTCCTCAGATTATCCTCAGATTATCACTTTACATATATATCGATAACTAAATAATTACTTATTATACTTTCTTTATTTTTTTTTAATTTTAAAATAATATTAATATATCTTTCTACGTTTAATGATGAAAAGAGAAAGAGGAGTAAAAAGAGGAAAGAGAAAAGAAAGAGAGAGAGAGAGAGGAAAAAAAAGAGAAAGAAAGAAAAAAAAAGGACGGCGATAATTTTGTATTGTTTTGTTATTCGGCCGAATGGCGGCTACTTCGTACCCGCCATTCGGCCCCAAAAATGGCGTATTATTCTATTTTTAAACGGTCATGGCGTAAAACCGTCGCATCCCTAATTATATCTTCATTATTGTTCAAATTTTCATTTTAATTAAACTTGATAAAAAAAACATTTTTGTGATAAATGTCAATAACATTCGACGACATTGCAAATCAATTTGAGCAGCTATTCTCAATAGTTTCAAGAAGCAAAAAACTTAGTAAATCTATTATGTCACAACAAGCCAGTAATTCCAAATTGTCAAAATCCGTTAGATCAAGATCATCAAGAAAATCTCTCAAGTCATCATATTCTTGCAAATCATCGTGTAAAATGACATCTCCTGAAAAGAATTCTAGACTTTGCCCATGGATTGAAGACAATCGACATTATAGTACTCTTTTGTCATTGCAAAAACAATCTAAGCCCAAAAAATCTTTAAGAATGACCAAATCATTTCAAGGGTATAGAGAACAGGAAAAAACTTTCGACGAGCCCGAATTCTTTTCACCAGACTATGATACAAATTCAACAGAAGTATACCCATCATATTCTGACAGTGAAATGAATTCCGATGACGAAGAGATGTTTATAAGAGAAATAGATTTAATTTTGAATTCTCATATTCAAAAGAAATTCTTTCAATCATGGAGAAATAGATTTATGATACGCACATCAATTCTAATCAAAAAACAATTACAAAGCATTTCTTTATCTCATCAATATAATCATGAAAATGAGTTTTATCACGAAGAAGAAGAAGAATGCATACAAGATTCTTCAGAATCTCTACCTCCGAAAAGGCTGAGTGCACTTGATTCAGAAGAAAAAGAACGGTTGATTGATATTTTATTATCATCTCAAGAATAGAAAAAAAAAAGACATGTAATAAAGTTTGTATGATATAGTATCAATATTTTTTTTTTAAAAAAAGAGAGAATGAACCAAACAATCGAATAATAAACATTATTGTTGTGTCTGGAAATGAAATTTAAACCAAGACACAGAGTTAAGAATATGCAAAGATGGAGATAATATAACATCCTAAATTTCGAAGAATTCGAGATTTTGTTCTATAAGCCTTTTAAATGAGGTTAGATCGTATTATTTTCATGTATTTTCAGTCAAGTATTTCTGAACGAAATCAATAACAGCACGGTATTCGTCTTGATTTATTTCTCTATTTTGGATTTTCTTGTTGATATCGAACAATTTATCATTGATTTCAATCTCGTTCGAAAAAGATGAAGGAGTTGCTTGCTTCGAAATTTGCTGACAAAAAATCCCAATCTTTTCAGTATCATTCATTTTTGAAATGTCACTTTTGTATACATTTTACCAAGTATATGATTAATGGACAATATAATATCCAACCATGACTCTGTAGTTTTGTTTTCATAGACTCAATTCTAAAAATATCTAGATCGTTCCAGTTACTTGTTGACCAAATACTGCAAATATTATAAAATTCTTTCGTTGGAAGTTTCAGAGGATTTGAAACTTTATTGATTTATCTTTTCATCTAGATAACTATTAATATTCTGAAATAATCTTTCATTCATGCTCATTCATTGAAATCTTGCGCGGTTGATATGAAAATGCGGATAATTTATATAATTCGGTTTTAAAATGGTAAGAAATCATTATAGTATGATCAATTTTTGAAATTAACGCGATATTAAAATATGAAAATTGCAAAAATAACTTTTTATTAGATTGCCTATTACATTTATATCATAAATCATAAATAAAGCATAACGAAAATCTTAAAATCGATATTGATGATATTCTGGGTTAAAAAACGATGAGATCTAATTCAAAATGATTGAGTTTTGCTGAAAATAAAACCAATAGATAAAGACCTAATTAATAAATAACAAAACTTCATTAAATATCGATGAATTGAATTTGAGAAAGCGCATCGTTAATTTTAATATGTTTAGTAAGCCAGGATTTTGATACATATACTCTTTTTGTCTAAATTCTGATCAATTCAATCATTGAAAAAGTTGAATCAATATCAAAATAACTATCGCATATAACATAAAAATATATTTAATAATAAAAATTCCGAAACAATTATTTTTGAATGTCTCTCAATTGATGTGAATTTAAATTACTTTTCTTTTTTAAAAAATAACCTCATTTCTATAATCGATTATTGTCAATATCGGTCATTTTTAAAATCATTTGAATGAACAATAACTGTAATTCATTAAATCTGAATAAACATTGATCTCTACTGCTTAATATTTATATAGACCATCACGATATTTCAATAAAGTTCAATAATTGGGAACATAAATCTAAAACAATATAAATTATATAACAAGTCACAATTACTTAGATTTATATGCTTGGACGAAATATTTCAAAAATTGAGAATAGCGAAAATCTTGAACCGATTTCGTATGGTTCAAAAACGCAAAATAACTGTGAATATCACCCATGAATATCGTATAATAAGCGTAGATATTGCATGCTTACCCAATATCCTCTTAATACACATAAAAAATTTTGGTTAACTCGGCAAATTGAAGTTAATAAGAATCTAATTTTTGAGATATCGTTGGTAAAATCACCCCAAATTTCACCAGTGTGGAGCTCATCTGATATAGAGCAAATTCTATTTCAAAAGTTTGCTCATTTGCATTCAAAAATTCCTCTGCTACAAGTTAAAATTCCCACTTTTGGGTTATTTTTTCGACGTTAATTTAAATATTTCTTATAATGACCGATATTGAGGAACTCTCAACAGATTCTCAAGAACAACAAGCAGACAACATCGAAGTTGAGGCATCCAATCAATCTAAAATTGATGTTGATGGTACACCAATGAATTTACCAGAAGATGGACAAAACAAGAAGACAGAAACAGATGAAGACGGAAATCCACATGTTGAAGAAGAGGATCTTGATGATGAGAATCCTCATAAGTCCAAGTTTGACGAACCAGGACGTGTCAGAAGATTTACAACAGTATTAAACCTACTGAACAGTTTACTTGGTGCAGGTATCCTTGGTGTACCATATGCCATGAAATACATCGGTTTAATACCTTCAGTTATCCTTCTTGCCCTTATTGGAGTCCTATCTGATGTAGCCACTGTTCTTACAGTGAAATTGCAAGCAAGAACAGGCGCATCAGGACTTGATGACCTTGCATATAAGACATTTGGCCGTGCTGGATCCATTATCCTTTCCATTCTTTCAATGTTATTCCTTTACTCCGCTGAGATCTCTTATCTGATCATCGGTTCAGATTCCATCATGTCATGGCTCAGATTAGCAGGCCTCGATATCAGATCAGGCTGGAAACGCGCTGTAACACTCTTACTTTTCTGGATCTGCATCCCAGGCGCTTTGACCATTCCGAAGGACATCAAATTCATCAGCTACACATCATATGCTAACTTTGTCTGCATCGGATGGTTCCTCCTCGTCATGATTATCAAAGCTTGCGTCGTATTTCCAAAACACGGCGTCGCAAAGCTCACTTACGCTACATTTGGCTTCGGATTTTTCTCTGCCGTTGCCATGTACGGCCTCGCCTTCTCTCTTCCTGTCGTTGTTTTGCCAATTATCAGCTCATACAACAAAGATCTTAAGAAGAGGTCAATTGTTTCCGCAGCCGCTTCAATTGCATGCTTCCTGATTGTCGCCATTCCAGCTGTCATTGGCTACTTGATGTTTGGAGACAACATTCAGACAATTATATTAAATTCTTTCGAAGACAACGACGTTTTGATTACAATCACAAGAGCAACATTCCTCGTTGTTGTTTGCTGCTCATATCCATGCGTTGCACAGTCAATCAAAGGCTCCTGGGGCCAGTTGTTGTTCGGCCAAAACGATGCAACAAAGATTGATGGCTGGAGAAGAGTTGCCTTGTTCTTCATATTCAACTCAATCGCTGTCATCATTGCTATCTTCCTTCCAAACGCAGGACCAGTCCTCGCAATCGGTGGTGCACTCGGCGGAACACTCGTCGACTTCGTCTACCCTCCAACAATGTGGGTCAAGATCTCGAAGAAGAAATGGTACCACTGGCAGAACATTCTCTGCTTGTTGCTCACTTTGTTTGGACTTGTAGCAACGGCAATCTCAACATACTTAGCTGTAGTGGATGCTATAGCATTCCTAAAGCGATCTAAGTAAATAAATTAATTTATACTGTTCTATTAAATAAAAGAATTTCATTTTATTATTCGAAAAAAATTATTCATCTTCTTAGAAGTTCAATATTGATAATGATGGTAATGCTGCAATCGATGACACAGATAGTACATGAATCACAATAATTAGTGTTACAATTCTGATGTAGTATTTTCCATCGCTTTTAGAATTGTAACAGTTCAGACAGCACTAAAGAATGATTAGATTGAAATGCTTGTCTGCGTGCTGAATATGGGTTTTCATCATTATAATGAATTTTTGAAGTGCAAATCATGCAACTTTGAGGCTTGGACGGTTGCATTCTTGATATGAAATCTTTCAAATGATCTATCAAATCTTTGGCAGATGGGCGTTTGCTTGGATCCATTACTAAACATTTTTCAATAATTTTACCCAAAATGCCAAAACAAGTGTTTTTAATCTCAAGAGTTCCTGATTTAACTTGTTTTATGTATTTTGCGATACTAACAAGATCAAATGGAAAGTTTTGGGTCATCAAAATATGAGCTGTTACTCCAAACGACCAAATATCTGCTTTCATTCCATCATAGCATTTATGGCAGAGTATTTCTGGGGCCATACATGTTGGAGTGCCACAATATGTTAATAAATAATCTGAATATTCTGCAGCTAAGCCAAGGTCTATAATTTTTGGATTAAATTTATCATCAAATGCAATATTCTCTGGTTTCAGGTCTCTATGTGAAATTCCTCTTTCATGAAGATAATTTAATCCTTCGAGTATTTTAAAACATATATCAATTCTCTCGCTGAATGGGAGATGCTTACCGCTATTCAATAAATCAATAAGATTGCCATTTGGTAAATATTCCATTAATAAGCAGATAAAATCTTTTTCGTACAGTGTTCCATAGAATTTTGGTAGGCAAGGATGATTGAGACGCTCTGATAATCTTAATTCCATATCAAGATATTTCATAAATCCTTTTTCTTTAAAAGATTTTCGATCAAAGATCTTAATAGCAACATTTTGGTCTGTTTTTTCATCAACGCCTAAAGCAATTACTGCAAAAGATCCTCTTCCTAATATTTGAACTATCTTATATTTTCCAATTTGTTCTGGAATGGTGAAGCCTTCCATGATAATAATAAAAATTTGTTTATAAATCGATTTTCAAAAGCGATTTTGAATTTTCAACGTTCATTTCAATTTAATTTGTAAATATGCTTCACAGATTTATAGCGAATATGAGTATAAAACGTTCGGGCACGTTAAAATTTTTATCAGCTATTTATATCATTAGTTAATATTTCATATAGTTAGATTCAATTTTACTGATAAATATTTCTCCAAATGCCCGTACATATTAATTCAATTATATCTGAATATTATTGAAAATTTTTATGACTTTTGAGAGGATGATAAAATGACATTTTTGGTTGATTTCACATGTATGTATATCAGAAACTATAATGTGAAAATGATAAATTTTTTTTTGAAAAAAATGATGGAGACTTTTGAATTTAAAATTAGATTGTTAATGACTCTGGGATAAATTTCAACAAGAATCAAAAATTTTATATGTCTCATAAAAAATTAATTTAAATTATGAATCATATAAATATGTGATTTATATTTATCACATACTAAAACAAATGTTTCATTAACTAAAAATCATTTTTAACGATGACTTTAATTTTTTTAATATAATTTTTTTACATAATTAAATTCAATAAATGATTATAATCTCCATCTGCTAATTTCAGTAAAGCAGAATATTTTTCATCATCATTTATAACACTCTTCACTTCATTTAGTGAATCAACAAATTTTGTCTTCATTTCTTTGTCACAAGACTTCAAAAATCTGTGAATCAAAACAAGGCAATAGATATCAAAGTCATTTCTGACACAGATCTGGCCAACCACGATGAACATTGGGTCGAAACCTTGTGGAGGATTTGCAAGGGCAGAAGCGAACAAAAATGAAATTTCCAAGTCTTTTCGTTTCCTGAAGATGTCCTGCAAAAGTGAAATGTACTCCAAAATAGAGTCATTTTTGCTTTTGTGGACTTTACATAGATACTCAAAATAAGAAGACAAAAACTTCGAATAACCATCAGCATGAAATTCTGGAATAGAATTCAAAACATTGGAAATGTCCAATTTAATCGATCCACTCTTTGCGAGTAATTTGCAGTTAGCATCCAGGAGATTGCTGAATAAGGGACTTTTCGTTGAAACAAAAGTTAATTTCGAAATCTTTGGTAGAATATCACTTTTCACATTGTCAAATTTCACGTGATTTGTCAGTGCGCACACAAAATCATTGATTACTGACGCGCAGATTCCATTCCGCAAAAGATACTCAATGCAGCTAATGGACTTCCACAAACAGTCGTAAATAACTTCCCAAATAAAAGGTTGATAGGGCCGATTAAGTAAAAATGTGATACTTTTCAAACCATGTATTTTGAAAGAAGGCAATTCCAGACACAAAACATCTGTCAAGTAATTTCTCTTGAGTCGATTTCCCTGCTGGCTGAACGCGTATACTTCTGTCAGACAGACAGAAAACATCTCCGCGTGATAGTACAGTCGCTCGTGGTCATCAATTCCCTGCAACAAACTGTCGCCAGGACCTCTCGCCATGAAAAAGTAGTTGAAAATAGAACTCAACTCTTTGTGAATGGTATCTGATAAAAGTGACATAAAAGGTGATAATAATTGGATGTATTCTTGTCTGTAGCATTTGGAATCCCTGAGAAGCTGATATGGATTAATTGATAAAAAGTGACATCTTATCATTCTGAGTAAAGCTGTCAATTTTTTGTTTGAGAAGTCTTGTGATGATTTTATCTGGCTGAAAATAAATTCAGTCGACTCATCAGCATCAGTTGCGAATTTTGTGAAGAAAAGCGATAGTTTCAAGAAATTCTTCGTTTTCTGTTCGAAATTCGTCAAAAATTTGCTCAAAAACAAACTTTTGTTAGAACCAATCAAAATGTCGGTTATTGTAAACTTATCGGTCAGTTCACAAATCAAATTTTTCTCTGTGTAGCCAGGGAATTCCTTCAGAAGCTGTTCCTGGGACGGCTTCAAAACTTTTAGCAGGTTTTCGTCGTCGGAATGTAAATATGGCAAATAATATTCGTTATTAACCGTCAAACCGTTTTTATCGGCATATTTACAAACTTCTATAAACAAATCGTTTGAGTCACAAACATTTAGAACTTTGTCTAATGTTAATTGATCAATTTTGAGTGGAGAAAATCTGAAGAAATTCAGAAGAAGAGATTTTTCGTTTTGAATTTCCCCTTTTACAAGTAAATCTGACAAAGTGAACTTCCCCTTTGACATTTCATGAGAAAATGTGAACTTTTGCTGCTCTTTCTCTGTCATAATGAACTTTTTCATTCTTCTCTGGTGTTCTCTTTGGAAATCATCCAAATTCAAAATAAAAATCTTATCTTTGTGTTCAAATGCAAAATTAATGAAATCATCACTGGTTTTATCTGTTAATTCTATTTCGACTTTTGGTATTTTATTTAAGAAATCCAAGAAATCTTTGTCATGAAGAGGGAATTCATCGAATTTGACCTTTTCAAACAGTTCTTTTTCGTCAATTTTTTCATTCAATTTGACATTCAAAAGTAACAATTGTTTGATATCTTTTAGATTTTCTTTTTGCTTCTGGAGTTTCTCTGCTGCCTGTTTCTCGTCAATGCATTTTGCAATTTTGTAGAAAGAAGAGATCTCATCGTAGCTCAAATTCTGCGAAGATAAGAGAGCCAGAAAAGTTTGGCCAACCTTAAGTTTGAAATCCATTCTCGCGTTCATGAAAAAGTTCGCAATTTCCTTCGTCAGAGGCATCGAAGAGTTGCATGACAATATCTCGCAGATCACTCTGGAGAATGATGTGAAGCTGTCAGAGAACTTGTCGCTGTACACTCTGAACGACAAAGGAATGATCCTGAGCGGAAACAGTTTGACCAAAAATTCCATGAAAGGCTGACATTTTTCTGGCCAAATCTCAATCAGAAACAGAAATGACGACAAAAGTGGCTGGTAACTCCTCTCTTTAACAACTCTTAAGTCAGTAGCAACAATATCACTTTCTATAGTTGACAAAACTGTTGGCAAAATGTCAGAATACTTAATAGGTGAAGTGACTGGCAGATCTTTTTGAGTAACTGATGTAAACAGTCTGCAGACCCAGTCTAAACAGTATTCTTTCAATAAATGGTCAGGTGAAGTGAATAAATCTCTCTGTTTTAGCAAATACTCGAAACAGAGATTGGCCAAGTGAGGTGAAGTCAAATGTAATTCTACAATTTCTGACACAATTTTGACATATTTTTTTCTCAACATTTTTGGAGTTGTTTTCTGAACCGAAATCAGCACTAAAACGAATCTGGTGCAGCTCTCCGGATCAAAATAGTCTGTGTACTTCGTCAAATAATCGTCAATGATCTGAAAATTATCAAAAGTGACAAAATTTGACAAAGTTTTATTTGCTTCCATATTTAGTTCATCTTGAGACGAAAAGCAGAAAGACATCAGAAGGATGATGACTTTCTCCTCGAATTGGTCGTCCAAATTGTAAAAACCGTCAATCGAAATCTGGTTAATCAGTTTTATCAGTGCGATATTCTGAACCCATGTCAGATTGTTGAGGGAGAGCAGGTAGTTCATGAAGTTCTTCAGCGTTTCCTTGTCGAAATCCATGAATTTTGAGACAGAAGATGAAATTGAGTTTATCAAAGTTGTTAAAACGTCGCCTGACGAGTCAACGTTGTTTTTGAACTCATTCAGTATGTTAACTACCATTGTTTCATCACTTTGGCATTGCTCTAAGAGGTTTGCAAGTGATTTTATCTTTGAAATTTTTATTGAATTTTGATCTTCTGGTAAAATCTTTAATTCTTCAAATGAGGAAGGCAGCATCAGTAAAAACTTCATGAAATGCTTTGGATATTCGTGTTTTGATGTAATTGACTTCAATTTTTCTGAAAATTCTCTGTAATCTGAAGATTTAAGGCGTAATGAATAAGAGCATAGCAGTCCAGTTGCTTGTTCAAAGTCTTGAAGTATCGAATTTTCTTGCTCTAAGATGTTTAGTCCTTGCTGGAGGACGTAATCTTTATTTTCTGCTGTAAGATGATTAAATAAAGTATCATCACTGAACAAATATGGTCCAAATGCCAAAATAGATTGATCTAACTTGTTTCCAATGCAGAAGGAAAACATATCTTTCAATAAAATTTCTGGATTAAGCAATATTAATTCTATTGTTGAAGAAACATAGTAATGATTTGGATTACGACCAAAAGATATCAATAAGCTACGTAAAAAGTTTTGATGGAACTGAATTGGCAGTGGTCGCATCAATTTTATCAAATGAGGGACGTGTTGGATAAAATCACTAACATCAACACTGAAGTGATGTAGAACTGGTGTGTTAATGATGAATTTCTCTAAGTCTAAGGGGTTCACGTATTTGACAACATAAAGAAAACTCGAAATGATAGCAATTGATGTAGAAGGTGATTCTGCTTTTGCATTTTGTATAGCGATTGATAAGCCACGTAGCATGTTAAGCGGTATTATTGGAGTTAAAGTTAATAAAAAGCCACCTAAAGCAGAATATGCATTAATTTTGACATTAGCATCGCTATTATTTGCTATTGTAAACAATACTAATAGGATACTTGAAATGCATGCTTCTGGGTTTTCTTTTAATAACGGTTCGAACCAATTTAATGAAAATTTTGCGCGTAATGACTGCAATGCAGATACAAATTCAGCTGGTTTATCGGGCGGTTTCTGAATGTAGTCTACAAGTTTGTAGAAGTGAAAATCATGCTGCGTAACTTTCAGCATTCTGACATGTTTTCGCAGGTTGGGTATAACCGTGCACTAATTTGTGCCAGTTTGTACACATTTCAGATGGAATACAAAGATATTTGAAAATATATCATTTAAACTATCATATTTATCCTATGTTGAAAGGAAAATATCTCCAAATTTATATTTTGAAGGATTTTTATTGGGTTAAATGCTTAGTAATATCTTTAATTCGAAATAAAAATTGATTAAATTTAAAAATAAGAAAAATAACGTATGCCATTTAATAATGCATACAAAATTATAGAATGTTTATTAATTTTGAAATCTACAAACAATGATCGAAAAATAAAAATTTAATAAATTGACTTAAAGAACTAAACTTTGAAAATAATAAAGTGTTTTGCGAATGTGATTTATTGCAATTGCTTAATTATTTGAATTCTTGTAAAATCTTTTAAAAAATGTAAATTTTTCAAAGTTCTGAGAATGATTGTCTGTAAATTTTGTTAGGTATCAATAAATTTAATAACATGCAAGTCTAGAAGTTATATTACTTCATCATTACAAACTATTTTTTTCATTGTTGAGTGTAAAACTTTTCAAATCTCGGATCATCTGGCTTGACTCCTGGTAATTGACTCAATATTGGAACCAAATTGTTTCTATCAGATACAAATCTGCGAATATAATCTGAATCTTCTTGTTCTCGCTTACTTAATTCGATTGCACGCGCTATCTCTGCAAGTTCTTCCTCGTTGTATTCTGAATATCCAGGATTGATACTGGAAGGATTGATATCTATCTGATAATAAGACATTGTAAAAAAAATCTATTGTCAAAATATTTACATGTCAAAAATAATGAATCTAAATGAACCTTTATTAGATTCACAAATTGAAGGATTTCCTGGTCTGACAAGCCCTGAAGTCAAAAGATGTTGTGGGTGTTTTTGTAAATATACATATATTCCTAATATTAAGGCAACATTCCTAGGAGAATGGGAGATTTCACTTTGCATGCCTATGTTTGTAATTATCCTAATGATATCATCATTTGCCATGTATATATTGGCGATGCCTGATGTATGGGGAAAGCTATTTTACTATATTGCCTTAGGAATTTTGTCATATTTATTTTTAATATGGATAACATCATATATAATGGTCATTAAAGTAGGTCCTGGGTACTACCCATTCTATGCAGCTACAAATTCCAAATATCCTTACACTCCTGAAAAAGATTTGAACCAATTAATTGAATCTCCATTTGATGGAGTTATTTCGACAGAAAAGCAATACAAATGGGCGCATGAAGGTGATATGCCGCCGCGCTGTATCCTATCAAAATCAGCAAGAAGAATTGTTATTAAACCCGACCACTTATGTGGCTGGACTGCTACATGGATTGGCAAGAGAAACTTCAAACCCTTCATATTGTTTAATGTTTACGGTGTTTTATACACAGCTTTTTATGCTTTTTCCGGTTGGAAGAAAATTTACTTGGTTTTCAAGAATAACCTCAAAATGGACTTTACAACTATGATGTTCCTACTCATGCTAATCTTTGCATCTACATTCTGCATGCTTTGCTTAGGCTTTGTCATTTCTGGCTGTACATCTGCTTGTCAGAACCGAACTTCGTGGGAAAAATGGAATAATATTGATGTATCTAAGTATAATAAAGGTAAGTGCAATAATTTGGAAGATACATGCGGCGATAAAAACTGTAAATTACTTTGGATTTTCCCTGTTCCGCCATTTAGAGGAAAAACTAACGGAGAATTGGTTGCTTCATATGATAGATATACAAGACATAATAGAGATGATGATTAATATCATAAATTTCAATTGTATTTTTGTTTGAATTCTTTAGTTAGATATAAAAACATCAGATTTTGAATCATATTTAATATATTTTACAAACAAACAAACAATAAAAATATATAAAATATATAAAAAAAATATAAATCAATCGAAATAAGCAGAAACTTTGACTTCTTCCATTGCTTGTTTCAATTCAGAAGAATCGAACTTAATGATTTTCTTCAGTTTCTTGAAAGCCAATCTCAATCTTTTTGCGGAAGAAATCCTTTCCTGAGGCGACAAATACATCGGAATCGATCCAGGCGGTGCGCAGATTGATATTCCGTGTATTTCTCCCTGCTCAGTCATCACTCCCTTCAAGTAGTACCACTTTGGTTTGTCGAAATTCAAAATGACAACAGTGTCGACATTTCCTGACTGCATCTGATTCATCAAGTGTATTCTCTGGTGCGGCAAAACAACGAGTCTAAACGATGTGTCTGTGAAAACTGCAGGGTGGAATCCACTTGGAACAGAGCTGTGGATGCCGTCATCTGTTTCCTTGAAAACATGGCGCCACGCGTAGATGTGTCTGCTCGGATTTATTGTGTCCATCGCGTTCATCACGATATTCTGCGTGTGGCTCGTAATGAACTCCCTCTCCAGACTCTCGAAAACAACAGTCAGAACTGTCGAAACTCTCTCGACCGACACCAGAAACGGCCTGATCGATGTCAGGTCGTGGAGAAGCAGAATTGTGTTTGAAATTCCGTAAACAAAGCTGTCTTTCACGCAGTTCAGGAACTTGGTGTAATCTCTTCCATAAACCATTCCTGTCAATGACAAAAGGTGGTTCAACGCTTTCGGGGAGTCGCTCAGTTCGTGTGGCATGTCCCAGACAACTCTCGGTTTCTCTGTCGAGGGAATCCTGATGTCGAAGAAAGTGTCTCTGACGATGTCCATGATGGAAACTCTGATGTCTTCGTAGTCGTCGTCGAGAAGGCCGCTCATCCTCCTCTGGCCGCTCTTGGACTGTGTGCTGGAGTAGCCGATGTGGAAATTCATCTCGCTGGCACTCCCTTTCCGACGCAAATTGAATGAACGCCGATCTATTGTTGTGTCACTTTTATGTAACAAATTTTGTTTTGTTTTTTGTTGCAAATCGTCGTTGTTTTCGATTATGACTCTGTTATTGCTTTCGCCTTCTTCACTGATAATAAAACTATCATTCATGATTTCCGGCTTCTGATGGATTTGACTTGGTGACCTGATTTTTCTTGTGTCACTTTTTGATGAATTATTTTCATTTCTCTGGAACACGATGCTTCCGAAACTGGCGCAAGATTTGTTCTGATCGGCCAATGACATGAGAGAAGAAACAGAGTTGTCCAGCTGTATCACTTCGACAGAATTAGACCCATTCAATCTTGGTGACGGTTTGAACGGTTTTTGATTATTTCCGAGCATCATTTTGTAGACAATTAAGAGCATTTTGGACAATGCCAAGTCAGGGTAGAAGAAGAAGAAGTCTTTTGTGTTTGCAGGCACAGTTGATGCCGAAACAGAAGATCCGTCTTTCTTCAGCAGTTTCATGTTGTCTATCTTTTGATTGAGGAACTGTTTTGCTATTTTGCTCTGGCCAATTTTCGTCAGGACAGTGAAATTCGATGGAGGCTGCTCGCCCATGAATATCTGGCACTTCTCATGGAAGTCGATCGTTCCGTCCTTGCTCACTCTAGTGAGATTCATCATGACTCCACTCAAAAGCGACTCGCAGAGGTAGCTATCATCATAAATATCCTTTGACCAAATTTCAGTCACTTCTCTGTAAATTACTGTCAAAATTGTTTCGTTGTCTCTCGTCATAGAGTGCATTGCATTGACGAGTACTACGACCTTGTTGTTGTTTTCATCCCAAAAACTCAAATAGAAGTGAGTTAAATCCTTTTCTTTGAGTGCAACCAAAATTCTCCTGAAAACAACTTCAAAAGGAATTTTGGGTTTTTTGTTGCTTTGCGACTTCCACTTTAACTTTCCTTCCACGGCCTCGAAAACAGTGATGTGGTACTCGCTCTTCGACAGCAGGTTCTGCAGGGTGTTGAATTCGTTGGAGAACTCCCTCTTCACGATGTGCTCGTGGTTGTGGATTATCAGAATCGTGAGAATCGCGTGAGTGAAGAACTCCGTCTGTCTGAGCATGTTCGTGGATGCGTCGGCGGACAAGACAATGATGTACTTCGTGGACTCGATGTTTATCGTGTGGCAGCCGAGCCTGTACTGGTTGAAGTTCATCCAGGATACCTCTGTGTTCGTCGGCTGTCCGTTTTCGAGGAGATCTCTCGCGACTGATTCTACTCTTTCGGAAAGTTTCTTTTCGCGCACAAATTTCACGACTGTTTTGAATGTCCCGCCGTCGGAGAAGAAGATTCCGAGGGCTGCGTAGTCCATGTTGTGGTAGACGCTCCCCATGATCGAAATGAACTTGGAGAGCGATGGTTTGGAAAGGATTCCCTCGCGGAAGAAACTTTCCTGGATGGAAACAAATTTTTCGATCTCGAGGGACTGGCGGCCAAGGGGAAGCTCGTTCTTTTCGTCGCAGCCGATGACAAACTGCGAGTTCTGCCGTCCTGTTTTGATGGAAACTGTTGCTGTCGGAGTGGAGTCTGAGTAGAAATTAATTGTCGCGGGACATTTCACGATTTCGTCGCAATCTGAGTACTGGTAGACTGAGCCCTTCATGGATGTAGTACTCTCCCAGTTTGTCGTACTGCTGAATGTCCTGAACAGAGAAACCTGGAAAATTCCAAAATTAATTTTGGAAATAACAACTTGGAAGAGTTCATAGCTGCCATTACCAAGACTAACAAAGACTAAATTGGGTATGTCTTCTGTGTAGTGAATGCTTTTCAGAAATTTGACGACTTTTTGAGGAATATTTTTTGGAAATGGAGTAAGTAAGTGCTGTGATGATGAAACAAAGAAAACATTGAATGTGTTATCGGATTTTGGCTGCAATCTAATATGTAAGTGCTTAAAAAATAAGAACAAAATGACAAAACAAAATAAAATTGGGGAAATAAATTTGTTGAAAAAGCGAATAAAATCACGAAATGAATTTTTGTAGCAAAAGGAATGAAGCGATGTGGATATGTAAGCTGAATTTTGTGAAATAATTTCTTTTTCTAATATAAAGTCAGAAATGGAAGTATTCACTTTTGACAAAACATAATATGAGTTATTGTTAAAGGTCGGATAAATTGAATATGATTGAGAAAGAAAAGATTGTACTAATTTTGAATTGAAATTTCCAAGTAAAGAGATTTGAAGATTGTTTTCTGTAAAATTGGTATTCTTGTATAGATAATACTTCTCAGTATATGGTATTCTGCATAAATAATCCTTCGTAGGGATTTCAGAAATAAAAACATTTGGAACTTTGTAGAATCTTGAATTTTGTATACTTGTGAAGGTTTGATTCATGAAGCTAGAGTTAATGATTTCAGTGCTGATGGATATTACAAAATTCTTTGTAAAAAGCCATCTCAGCATTAAAAAAAAATTCGAAATAAAACAGTTTTCATAAAAAAAGGTCCATTTTTTCTATATTTATAGTGGCTTCATATTTATTATTAATTATAAATTTCGAATAAATATCATTTTCAATTGGCATTGAATTTATTAATAATCATAAAATACAAATTCAGATACAAATCATAACTCAATAAATTTTCATTTTCAATTGAAATAATTTTCTGAATGCCATAATATTATCGCTCCATTAGCGTTACAAATCATCAAAAATCAATATATTTAAAAAGATGCATAGTAAAATTTTAAAAATATAAACAATTAAATTCATGAATAGCTATTATATCTAGTAATTCCGTTGCAAACACTCTTTCTATTATCACGAAGTATTGTTGAAAGAGAATTCCTTGTTGAAACTTTGCTAATTAGCTTTGGAAGGGCCGGAGGAGATTGTTTCTTGGATCTTAATGTTTCAACAATTTCTTTGATTGAGGGTCTCTCGTTTTGCTCTACTTTGAGGCAGTTTCTTATTAACTTTCTCATAAACTTGTCTTCTATTTGATATTCTTCATAGATTCCGTTTATGATTGATCCATAAAAATTCTGTATTGAGTTTAATGACCATGGATATTTTCCAGTGCATATAAAGAAGAAAGTCACTCCAAGTGCCCAAATATCTGCGCAAAAATTATCAACTGGTTTGCGTTTCAGGATTTCTGGACTCGCAAACATTAATGTTCCTCCTTGATTTAATGAGTTTGTTATTGTTTTCATTGAAAGTCCAAAATCGCATATCTTAACTCTTCCATAATTATCAATGAGGAAATTTTGAGGTTTAATATCTCTGTGAGAGATTCCCTGTTCATGGCATGCCTGTACAGCTTGTGCGACGCCAAAGGCCAATTCATATATCTTGTTCTTTGGAAGTTGACCAGAGGATGTTATGAAATTATCCAAATTATCTTGGCAATATTCTAAGACGAGATAGACATTTTCTTTATGGATATGATACATGTACAATGGAACAATGTATGGAGATTTGATTTCAATCATACATTGGACTTCATTCTCCATAAATTTTTCTATGGATATTCTTTTGATGGCAAAATTGCACTTGTACTGATAAGAATATGCAAGGAATACTGCCCCATAGCCTCCATGCCCGATTAGTCCTTTGATATCATAACCATAGGCATCACCAAATGTGTAGTCAGCTTCTATCATAATGACTAAAAAGTTGGTCTGAAAAGTCAATTGGGTTTTCAAAAGGGAATTCAAAAATTGAATAATTCATAAGTCTCATCACACTTTTCAATGCTCGATTTTTAAAAACTGTTTAAAAATGGAGCTTATATTGAAATAGTGTAGAGACTAAAAATTACCACAGACTATTTCAGAGGATTGAGTTGCCACTCAATCCTCTGAAAAGTCTGAGGTAATTTGCAAAATTCTAACCATTTATTTCTCTTTGTGAATAATATTGTTTAAAAGGATTTTTGCAGCTTACATCAAATTGAAAAATAAGAGCAATTGAAAATTTTGAGAAAAATGATTTTTAAATGATCATTGGTAAACTGTTTTATAAAACATTGCTAAGTGTTATACAAGTGATAATAATAAGCTAAAATTAAAAATAGTGATTTATTGAAAACCTGTATTTCACATGGGACATTCAAAACTGTAAAAAGCTATAAAAAATAAAACTCATCTCTTGTGTTACATATTAAGTTCTGTCAAAATGTAAGCTATTGAATTTTTTGAGAGGGAAATAATCGTCGAGGAAGTAAAAAGTGACGCTTTAGGAAATATTATTAGAAATATGATAATAAATATATTTGGAAAAAATATGTTTTTTTCAAAAATTGAAATGTTCATAGAATATTTTGAAATATGTAGACATTGCCAATGCATGTCTCCCAGATTGAGACAATATTCCGCAATCAGAATACGATTGCAAAACTTTGACCGACAAGAGTGTGTTATGCACTCTTGTCGGTCGCAATGTGTCATTGTGGGAGACATTGCCAATGCATGTCTCCCGGAATGGCATAATATTTTGCAATGTCTCCCAGAATGAGACACTGCGACCGACAGGAGTGCACAATACACTCTTGTCGGTCAAACTTCCGCGTTAAAGTTATGAATGCGGAACATTGTTCCATTCTGGGAGACATGCAGAGGCAATGTCTCCCAGAATGAGACACTGCGACCGACAGGAGTGCACAATACACTCTTGTCGGTCAAACTTCCGCGTTAAAGTTATGAATGCGGAACATTGTTCCATTCTGGGAGACATGCAGAGGCAATGTCTCCCAGAATGAGACACTGCGACCGACAGGAGTGCACAATACACTCTTGTCGGTCAAACTTGCAATCACATTTTGATTGCGGAAATTGTCCATTCTGGAGACATGCAGAGGCAATGTCTCCCAGAATGAGACACTGCGACCGACAGGAGTGCACAAAACACTCTTGTCGGTCAAAGTTTTGCAATCACATTCTGAGCGGAAGATTTCATTCTTGGGAGACATGCAGAGGCAATGTCTCCAGAATGAGACACTGCGACCGACAGGAGTGCACAATACACTCTTGTCGGTCAAACTTCCGCGTTAAAGTTATGAATGCGGAACATTGTTCCATTCTGGGAGACATGCAGAGGCAATGTCTCCCAGAATGAGACACTGCGACCGACAGGAGTGCACAACTCTTGTCGGTCAAACTTCCGCGTTAAAGTTATGAATGCGGAACATTGTTCCATTCTGGGAGACATGCAGAGGCAATGTCTCCCAGAATGAGACACTTGCGCGACAGGAGTGCACAATACACTCTTGTCGGTCAAACTTCCGCGTTAAAGTTATGAATGCGGAACATTGTTCCATTCTGGAGACATGCAGAGGCAATGTCTCCAGAATGAGACACTGCGACCGACAGGAGTGCACAATACACTCTTGTCGGTCAAAGTTTTGCAATCCATTTGATTGAGAGACATTGTCTCATTCTTGGAGACATGCAGAGGCAATGTCTCCCAGAATGAGACACTGCGACCGACAGGAGTGCACAATACACTCTTGTCGGTCAAACTTGCGTTAAGTTATGATGCGGAACATTGTTCATTCTGGAGACATGCAGAGGCAATGTCTCCCAGAATGAGACACTGCGACCGACAGGAGTGCACAAAACACTCTTGTCGGTCAAAGTTTTGCATCACAGTTCTGATGGAGAAGATTGTCTCATTCTTGGAGACATGCAGAGGCAATGTCTCCCAGAATGAGACACTGCGACCGACAGGAGTGCACAATACACTCTTGTCGGTCAAACTTCCGCGTTAAAGTTATGAATGCGGAACATTGTTCCATTCTGGGAGACATGCAGAGGCAATGTCTCCCAGAATGAGACACTGCGACCGACAGGAGTGCACAATACACTCTTGTCGGTCAAACTTCCGCGTTAAAGTTATGAATGCGGAACATTGTTCCATTCTGGGAGACATGCAGAGGCAATGTCTCCCAGAATGAGACACTGCGACCGACAGGAGTGCACAAAACACTCTTGTCGGTCAAAGTTTTGCAATCACATTCTGATTGGAGAAGATTGTTCCATTCTGGGAGACATGCAGAGGCAATGTCTCCCAGAATGAGACACTGCGACCGACAGGAGTGCACAATACACTCTTGTCGGTCAAACTTCCGCGTTAAAGTTATGAATGCGGAACATTGTTCCATTCTGGGAGACATGCAGAGGCAATGTCTCCCAGAATGAGACACTGCGACCGACAGGAGTGCACAAAACACTCTTGTCGGTCAAAGTTTTGCAATCACATTCTGATTGGAGAAGATTGTCTCATTCTTGGAGACATGCAGAGGCAATGTCTCCCAGAATGAGACACTGCGACCGACAGGAGTGCACAAAACACTCTTGTCGGTCAAAGTTTTGCAATCACATTCTGATTGGAGAAGATTGTCTCATTCTTGGAGACATGCAGAGGCAATGTCTCCCAGAATGAGACACTGCGACCGACAGGAGTGCACAATACACTCTTGTCGGTCAAACTTCCGCGTTAAAGTTATGAATGCGGAACATTGTTCCATTCTGGGAGACATGCAGAGGCAATGTCTCCCAGAATGAGACACTGCGACCGACAGGAGTGCACAAAACACTCTTGTCGGTCAAAGTTTTGCAATCACATTCTGATTGGAGAAGATTGTCTCATTCTTGGAGACATGCAGAGGCAATGTCTCCCAGAATGAGACACTGCGACCGACAGGAGTGCACAAAACACTCTTGTCGGTCAAACTTCCGCGTTAAAGTTATGAATGCGGAACATTGTTCCATTCTGGGAGACATGCAGAGGCAATGTCTCCCAGAATGAGACACTGCGACCGACAGGAGTGCACAATACACTCTTGTCGGTCAAACTTCCGCGTTAAAGTTATGAATGCGGAACATTGTTCCATTCTGGGAGACATGCAGAGGCAATGTCTCCCAGAATGAGACACTGCGACCGACAGGAGTGCACAATACACTCTTGTCGGTCAAACTTCCGCGTTAAAGTTATGAATGCGGAACATTGTTCCATTCTGGGAGACATGCAGAGGCAATGTCTCCCAGAATGAGACACTGCGACCGACAGGAGTGCACAATACACTCTTGTCGGTCAAACTTCCGCGTTAAAGTTATGAATGCGGAACATTGTTCCATTCTGGGAGACATGCAGAGGCAATGTCTCCCAGAATGAGACACTGCGACCGACAGGAGTGCACAATACACTCTTGTCGGTCAAACTTCCGCGTTAAAGTTATGAATGCGGAACATTGTTCCATTCTGGGAGACATGCAGAGGCAATGTCTCCCAGAATGAGACACTGCGACCGACAGGAGTGCACAATACACTCTTGTCGGTCAAACTTCCGCGTTAAAGTTATGAATGCGGAATATTGTTCCATTCTGGGAGACATGCAGAGGCAATGTCTCCCGAACTGATACCGTAATACCAACACCAATTTATCCCTTCTTTCCGTTGTCATACAATTCAATATTTTTATCAATCTTAATCAACTTTTTTATTCTTCTTTAATTCAATTTATCTTTCTCCTAGAATATCTATTCCTTTAACAGACATAAAATCACCAATCGAGCTTTTTCAATACTCAAAATTTCATATAAATCTTTGTTATTTTTTCTCTCATCGCTTATTTTATTAAATATACATATTTCCTCTCACATATCCTCTTCATATATATTGGATCTCAACACTCATCTATTAGAACAATATATTTTCGCTTAATCTCATATTATTCATTAACAATCTTCATCTTCTTATTTCTAGTTAACCTACCAATATATATAGAATATATGCCCAATTACATATTCAGATACATTAAATTCAAGAAATTCTTCTAATATTATTCTCCTATTCATAATAAAATCATATTTAGTCTCACATCACAATTCTATCAGTTCTCCAATATCATATCATATTGGTAACATCACATATATCTCTTATAATATCACTTAAATTTGTATTTTTTTATTAATTATATTTAATTAGTTCTACATTCTATTATTATAGAGGTTTGACAAACTCATCAATAGTTAAAATCAAAATCTATTCAGAACTTTGAATCTAATGAAAATTACATTTCGATATCTTTTTGCAAGCTTAATTTTTTGTATTATCTTAAAATACATTTAGTAATGTTATGTACGTATTGAATTCAAATTATAGCGCAGTAACATGCAATTCATCTTGAGATTCACATTTCATTTTCACAATTATTGCATATATACATCAATAACATATTGTACTCATATATCTACACGACTCTAAACTCAATGACATCAAATAATGCTTGTAATATTTAAAATAATTTTTGCATTTTTGATTCTCAGCTTAACTTCTATAAATGTCACCGAAACATTTCATTCCTACCAAGAAATAATATATTAGCAATTAAGCGTTTATTACCATTGTTACTCACATCATATTAATTCATTTTTGTAATTTTTTAAATAAATGACTGGAAAAAGTTGGCTTGAAACTCTGGGTAGGGGGTCATGAAAAAGTTGCAAAAGTCAAAAATTGAGTGTAAGTCACTTTTAGTTAGGCCGTCACAAAAAATAAACAAAAATAACTAAAACAAAGGATACTCCATGACAAACCCAATTAAATTTTAATCAAGAATTCATATAGAAATGAACCAGTAAGTCTGTAATTAATAACGTACAGATTTGTAAAATTTTGAATTCGAAAAATAGAATCACAATACAGATAACCAATGTGGTCGCATAATTTTTACAAAATATTATGTTTTTATTTTTTTATTTTTTTTTTGTATTTCCTCTTTCCCTGAATTTGATTTATGAATATCTATTATATAACTGGAGAAATAGCATAATTTATCAGAATTTTTGGTTCATTTTTTTAAAAGATGACATTATTTTCTTGAGCAATTTCATCATATATTTTATGGTACAAAGGGTAAACACTGAAAATTATATTTCGATGCCTTTTTTTTAAAAGAAACTTAACTTCACTTTTGTTAAAGCTTTCCTATCTTTTCTCTTCATAATTGCATTCAGATTTCCCTATTTGGGAAAAATTCTATGGGGAAACATCTCCTGTCACTGTGAAGAGAAAAGAAACTTTCTCTGATGATCAATTTAAATATGACAGTGGTGGAAACATTTATATTGTTAATTCCATTTTCAAAGATATAGTTGGATATGGATCAACAATTATTATACGTGATGAAAAAAACGATGCTTTGCTTTACATGGTTTCATTAATAAACGTTAAAAATTATGGAAGTCAACAGAAAGGAGCCATTTGTCTTCTATGCAGAGATAATGTAGCCTACTATATATGTGGCCAAGACTGTGTTGCAAGCATGGGCGGCCAATTCGTTTATTCAAGCCCTGGACAGAAGAGTCTTGTGTATGGATTAACAGCTTCAACAACAGAGGAAAGTCCATATATTACCTGCTCATTTGAATATCAAACTCAACAGATTTCAAATTCGATTTTTTCAAAATTTAAAGCCAGTAGCGTTGCAGCATTTGAAGTAAGTACCAGAATGAATGATTCTTATGCCGCATTCTGCACAATTAATGAAAATACGCAGACAAATGGAAGAGTAATAAGTACATATTCAAATGAGGCCACTTTCAAGATACATTATTGCAATTTTGTTGGAAACATTCTTCCACAATCAGATAATGAAGTATTAATTTCTTCGTATCAGCCAATGGAAATCGATAATTGCAATTTCAAAGATAATACTTGTCAATATTTATTCCAATGTGACAAGAAATTGATTGTTACAAGTTCCTATATAATGGAAATACTTGTGATGGCGAAATTGATCAAAGTCTAAAGATGCCAAAATTGAAAGCAAGAGTGAAACCGAAATCGATTCAAACATAATTACCAGAGCAAGGCGATGAGATTTGTGGCTTCGAAGCAGCTGGAGAAGCTTATGTTCCTGCACAATGGGGTTATGAGGCACCTCCAGGACCAGTAACTCCAACACCAGAGCCACAACCAGTTCCTCCACAGCCAAACTGCAATTGTCATGGCACCTCTTTACGATAATCAAATCCAAATATGACAGTTTACACCGTCGAATTCCTGATGGTGAAGAACCATCCAAGGATAAGAGGCATACTGCACAATCTCGTATCGAAAAGAACCAGTCACAAGAACTCCGAAATACGAACCAACACCATTCCCAACAATAGATCCAACGAGTGCGACGAAGATTGCCAGAATCTTAAGAGAGAGATCATCAAGGAAAGAAGAAAAGAAAGGGAATGATACTTGGTTCCGTATTTGGACTTTATGCCACTGATTATTACTGTCTTATAATGAAGCATAACTACGCAAGCGTGACGATCTCAGTCATAGTTGACAGTATAGTTTAAATTATATGTTTTGCTAATAAAACCATCTTAAAATTACTTTCTATAACATCTCAACCTCAGTGTTGCTATTTTTCATATGATAAAAGTATAGGTTTTGTGGAGATATTAGCTTCATTTCATGGAAATATTAGTGGTTAATGCGAAAGGAATATGTAGCTGATATGCACTATAGTTAGAGAGCATCTTCAACATTGTTTCAAGCATTGATTGTGATAATTTTTATGAAATAATTTGTTGATTGCGTTAATATTAATTTAGATTTGGTAGATTCATCATAGTTCTGCCACTTCTTCGTTTTTTTGATTCGTTAATGAAAAATATTCAGATAACTAAAATATATTTTACAATAAAAACAAAAACAATATAATATTTAAAAGATATATGACCTAGTAAATAGTATTTCTAGTGCGATGAATGGATTCATTGATAGCAAACATGAATGAATTATTTTTCGTTTTGATACTTGTTATTCTAAGGATAAATCTAATGACGTTCTCATCTTTCACGAATTCGTTTGGCTTCCATACGCCACTCAAATCTCCTTTGAAAAATGTCTCCGGATCAGGATAAAGAAGAGGCGAAATTTCCTTGAAATAATCATGGGAAATCGACTTTACAGCCTTCAAAACATGGTCAACTGTGATTTTTTCAGAACCCATTATCTTGGAAATTCTGAAAGCTTCAGCAGAGATGTTGTAATTCATGTTATAGATATTATCAGGGGTCATCCATGAATTTGGATCTGCGAAAATCAAGCTTTTCAGCTGAATTCTTTTCTCCAATTCTATTTTCGTTGATTTTGCAAGTAAATAATCCGAAATCGAGTTGTTCCAACTATAAAATATAGGTAATCTGTAATTTTCGTCCAAATTGTTGACGTCGGCTCCCGACTCAACTAAAATTTGAACTTTTGCTATGCTTCCGCATTGAACTGCATAATGTAATGGAAAATATGATAAAGGTTCTTGCTTATTGGTGAAATTTTTGATAGAAAAGTAAGAAATTGCCGGCCGATCTTGATTTGTTAAATGAACAGGGAAAGGATCATGGAATGGATAGAACTCACCGATTTTTGCGTTAATTGGTAAAGGTTTCAGCTTCGGAATGTAGTACTTTCCTGGTTTATTTGGGTTAATTCCTTTTGATATCAAAACTTTGAGACAATCAGCTGGAAAGTAGTTGATCGCTATCAAAATATCAACTTTAAGACCATACTCGATCATCAAGTTTCCAATTTCTGACGTTTTAATTCTTTTGAACAAATCTTCATCAGCAATAGCATTTACATCAAACCCGTAATGAAGCATAGCCTCAACTAGTTTTGTACAATTGTGTTCTACCGCTTCTTTGAAGAACTCTGCCATTTCTACGATTTTATGTGGATTAATATTCTTTAAATAAACAGTTAGAGCATCTAAACATGATTCATACGGCTTGACGTATCTGAATGAATTGATATTTCGGATATGTTGTGTTTCCGAGATCCGAAAAGATTTTTCCATTATTATTGGACAATCTTCCATATAAGCGCATTCCAAGAGGTCATTTCGCTCAAGAGGAAGTTTGATCGTATCGATCAAGTATTTGAATAAATCGTAAGAATATTTTAGAGAAATTAGTTTTGGAGGGAAATTAAGCTCAAAACAGCTTATGAATACATGTAGGTTGTAAGATTCGTAAGCATTTCTAACTGTAAAAGGATCAAATTCGAGATTATCAATCGCCCAATCATAAATATCGTCTTTTGAGAATGAATAGCTCCAAGCAAGACCATTGACAAGTTCTGATTTTCTTGTTGTAATAATCTGATGATTTCGAGGTTTCCACCAAATGAAGCAAAATATCCAACACTTGGTGTAATATTTTCATAACTCATGAATAAATATTTGAATATATTGATCGATCCATTTAATGCACATATTCTAGAAGTGTTGCTGTCATTGGAATAAAATACTCGTATTCGTCGATTTTTAACAGTAATTTTTCTTTTTCGTCTTCTGACATATTAAGCATAATTGCGTTAAAGCTATCAAAATCGTCTTCTTTAATTGCATTCTTCAGCTTCACGTGATAATCTGTGTATGCAAATTGTTGATTGATTTCATTAGTTGAAAACAGTCTCTTTAGACGCTCATCTTTAAAATTACTTTCAATAGGGGGTGTTTTTGTTAATGGAATGAAATGTGGGTATTTAAAAGCGTAATCTTTTAATTCTTCATAAAGGCGTATGTAAAAATCCTTGTTTTCCTTTCTAATGCGTAAATATAATGAAAGTCGTAGAAATACATCATAAATATAAGGCCCTTCTGTCATATAATTTTTAAGAAACCTAATTGTGTCATCAAATGTATCTTCCGATATTGTTCTAAGCATGTCTTCTAATTTGTCGAGGTTTTGGAGCTCTGGTGGAATAGTAATATCTGAAAGATACTTTCGACGCGTCATGTTCGATCAATAGTTTTCGTTTAATAAACATTCCGTCTATAATTCAAAAGTATCTGAAAATTGAAATTAATTCGGGAAGAATTTTAATTTTTTGATTCTATTTTTAGCGTTTGGCAAAGTAGTATCGACAATTGAAATCAAACGCTCACATATTAATCTTTCTGTTTTAGAAGCAAAGAATTTTTCCAATCAAATCTTGTTAAAAAATATAATTGAAAAGCTTTAAGCAAGTATATTGTGTAAATGGTTTATATAAAACATCTTTTACTCATTAGGGTTTGGGCGAAAACTTAATTACAATGTAGAATTGCAGTCATAAATTGATATCATGTTGGCATGTAGGTCAATTTGATCTTTGTTGGATCTCAAAGTAATTGTTGTAGTTTTGACGTCTCAACTCAACGAGATGTTCTACTAATTTCTCGAATTGATACTGCTTTTGGGTGATCTTCCTTCCATTGTATTCGACCAAAGGACCATATTGATCTTGCTCTGGAAGTCCAAGTTCACGTAACCTTTGAGGATTTGGATTTCTCTCTTTTTCAAAAACAACATTAATGACAGCCCCACTTTTCATTGCATAGTCCCTGAAGGTCAATTCTTGGTTTAACACAACTCCATTGTAAACACATTCTACAATCCCATATTCTTGATGGATAATAGAGATTGGTTTATCGATTCTAACAAACTGATACCTTGGACAATTGTTTCGGTGCTTCAGTTTTATCATGATCTCTTCACTGCATTTATGTAGCATCGAGTGAATTGAAAATGTAAATTCAATTGCCCTTCAATTCATATATAGAATTTGATTAGATTTTGAAAATAAGTTGTTGTATGAATCATATATTAATCAATATTCATGAATAAAATTTTTCAATTATAACGTGTTTTTATTGTTTTTGGTCCATGAAATATAATCCAGTCTCAACAAATTATAATTTAGCTCTCCTTCTCACACAATTTTGAATACATGGTGATGATAATCGTTGAAATATAAAAATTACGTATATCTGTTTTTAAAAAGTTATTTAAACCTAACATCAATCTTTATTCAATGCTTCTCTGAAAACTATAATTTTGTGAGATCACTTTTATCTCAATTTGTTTACTGATAAAATCTTTTTCTTTTGAAAAGATTATAATCTTATAAAATATAATATGTCATACTGTAAGAACGATACCATTCATAATTAAAATCAACAAAATTGAATTTTAAATCACACTCAGAAAATTTCAGAAGAAAATTGGCAGAATAATTAATTTTTCAATATTTTCTAATTCCTAATCATACTTTATTGTTACAATTGCTTTGTAGATTTATCTAGGTCAACAACTAATCAAACTTTTGTTATCGGCTTATTGATTTCAACCTAAATAAACATACTATTTATTGTAGAATGACACCATTTATTTTTTGTTTATTTATCTTCATTCAATTTTTCCCGCCCATATTTTTTCTCGGTGAAATTTTCCCGCCCAATTTTCGCTCGAAAGTCTTCGCAAACAGCTTATTTTTTACAGTCCGATCAAATAAGTGTAAACATGTTTATTCAATTCTCCATTTGTCTTTTGTGGTGTTTAAACAAACTTATTGTTTATAAAATAAAAAAAAAAAAAAAAAAAAAAAAAAAAAAAAAAAAGGTAGTGGGGCTTCCAGGCACTTCGTGCCTTCTAGCCCTGAAGATGTTTAGTATAAATGAAGTTCTTATATACGGGTCTTCCAGGAGCTTTTCACAAATTATATATGTTTTCATGTTTTGTCAAGACTTCTTCGTAAAATCAGACAAAAATAATGTTTAGGGTAGAAGGTTAGATATAACCTCTTTTCTAACCTCTTTTCTACCCTCTTGAATTTTCAAGACTTCTTCGTACATGTTTTGTCACTTTTCTGTCACTTTTCAGGAAAAAACATTTTTATTGTATATAAAATGAATTTTACAAAACCACCGTTACCCTTCTTTGGAAATAAGAGTAGATGTAAAGATATTCTATTGAGAGAACTTAAGAAACTACCGAATGGTCTAACATTTGTAGACTTGTTCGGTGGAAGTTTCTATATATCTCATTTGTGCCATACAATATTTCCTGACTCAAAGATTATATGCAATGACTTCGACAACTATATGAACCGTCTCAAACATATACCAGACACAAACAAAATATTGAAAGAGTTAAAAGAAAAGATACCTATAGGTAAGATGGAACGTATACATTAGATAAGAAAAATACTGTCAGAGAGGTTTTGAAAAAGGCAGAGTATATTGACTGGGATAGTATATCTGCTAGACTATTATATTAGTGGTGCTATAAGAGTTCATGACATTGAAACACTTATGTCAAAGTTTTATATCTTAACTTACAAATGTTTTCAAAGAGAACATAGAAAAATATATTGAGGTATAGAGTTTGTGAGATGTCATTGGACAGAGTTGTATGAAAATATAAAGACAAGGAAAATGTTTTCTTTATAGTGGACCGCCGTTCTATAACACATGGGATTTTCAATACCAAGTAGACTGGACTTTGAGAGACTCTTTAGAAACTTTAGACGTTTTACATAACCATCCATGCTTTTACTTTACATCCGATAAAAGTGGTTTGGAAAGTGTCATGAGATGGTTGAGGACATACATGACTATGAGTTTAGATACGATAAGATAGAATATGAGAGAGGTCCTATAAACTGGAGAAAGTGTCACAACAAAGAAATTTTATTGGTAAGTAAATGTGGTTTGAAATAGGACTACTTGTTTTAGGTTTTTTCCATTGTGTCATTTACTTATTTGACGTGGCAAAGGTACAGAGAATATGAAGATGAACCAATACAGCAAATGTTCAGCATATGTACTCGTAAGAGATATTTTTATCTAATATTAAATGGACGCACAGAACTTAGCGAATGCACAGCAACCTGGACAACCAAACCCAGAGAATATTCCAATGAAGTTAGAATACAAACTGCAATGGCAAACTATGGTCAAGTGCCAACAGATGTACAAATGCAAACTGCCATGTCAAATGACGCTGCGTTAGTTTGCCACCATGGTATGCAAATATGAGATGGAAAGAGTTTTATAACCCTGAAGTGGGATATAAACAACTTTATGCAGATGACGCGAACACAGGAGTTGACCCAGAATATGTTTTCTACCAGAGGAGAAACAGAATGTATGAGCTCCAGTTAAAGAATGCTATGGAACTCAACAGGAGACGTAAGAGACTAGGCGGACATTAGATTTTTACATATAGTAAAATGGGTTTCTTCAGTAGTATTGGAAACTTCTTTCGAAATGTTGGAAGAGGTATATGGAATGGAATAAAAACCGTAGGAAGAGGAATTTGGAACGGTGTCAAAAATATTGGTAAAAGAGTAGGTCAGTTCGTTGGTATTATACCCAAAGACCCTGAACCAGAAGAGCAAGCTCTGTTATACAACAGCCTGAACCTGCACCACAGTCTAGTTGGCAACCAAATCCAACACCTCAACCGTATTAAAAAATTATATTTTTATCGTTCGATAGTAGTTGTATATGAAACTAAGTTCTAAGTAAAACGCATGGTATAATGGAATTATTCTTTTTCTTCCATCTGTAGTAAACCATACTTGAAAGTCTGAAATACTTCCACTTGGTGGTTCGTATAACTTTGTAGGTTTTTCGTAAAAGTCATTTGCCAAGCATAAGAAAGAGTTTTGGGCGCCAGAAAATGAAGCATGAACAATAATAGCAGCTGGGTCGAAAACATCTTTAAATAAATATGGTTCATCTCTTGCATATCGACTGTAAATATTTGCTAAAGGAAGTTCGACTTTCTGATTTAACATTCTTTGCAAATAATACCATGACATTGCAGTGAATTCTGTATATATTTGTTCGTCTTTCTTTGGATTGTCTTCGTAGATTTGAAATGACACTTGTGAATTTTGTTTGTCATATACAATTCTCACATAAAGTGTGCTCTCGGTATTTGCATATTCATCAGCATATTTTGCATAACATGAATTTTTATCTTCTATTTTTTTAACGCAGTCTGTAGAGAAGATGAAAGGTCAACTTGTATTAGCTCAATTTCTTCCCACATTTTTCGTTTCCCTTCAGATATATAATCTATATGAAACCTTACAATAAATGGAAAACTTTTATCTTCTACAGACACAAACTTCATTCTACGAAAGCCAATAGCTTTTGTGACAGATGGGTCTCTTAGCCATCTTAATGGGTAGTCAAAACGATAGCCTTCATGCTTTACGGTCTCTGTCTCAAACTTTTGACCGACATTAGTAAAAGTTCATCTAATGGTTTAGTTGTAGCAACTCTTGAATTTTCTCTTTTCTATTGGAAGCATATTTTATCTAGAATAAAATGTCGAAAGAAACAGCGTCTATGAGAGAAATACAACACAACCGACAACTCATTTTGCAAGCTCTAAATAAGAACACAACAAACTTTTCAAACTATTCTAAGATATCTGAGTCATTGAAAGAAGGAAACTTAAAACTGACATTAAACCAATGACAGATGAGTTTCTGTTTCAAGACAACAAGAACCATACTGTTTGTATAAATCCAACAAAAGGAACCTTAAACGAGAAACCTATAGATGAACTTCTTTTGAAAGCAGATGTTGACAACAAAGCTGACAAAGAATATGTAGACGATGCAATAGCAAAAGAAGAAGAAAGAGCTAACAATGCTTATGCAACAAAGAACATACTCATCCTGAACTAGCAGACAAAACATATGTTGACAATAAAATGTCAAGTGAAGTGACAAGAGCTGAAAACGAATATTCTAAAAAGACTCATACACATTCTATATCTGAAATAACAGACTTAAACGTTAGCCTTGAAAGAAAGCAGATAAGGAATATGTGGCTAGTAAGTTAGAGAAGAAGCGGATAAGGAATATGTGGATGAAAAAAGATAACGAAATGAAAGAAAGGGTTGACTGGTACCATGAACGGACATCGAAGATTTTAAAACTAAAGCCGATACAGGATGGGTTTCAGGATGTTTAGACCTTAAAGCAGATAAACTTATGTTAACGATGAGGTAGAGAAGAAAGCAGACAAGAACCATACACATACAAGTTTTAAACTGTTGCTATAGAAAGTATTGAAGGAACGGTTGAAGAAACTGGTGGGGATGCAATATATTGTAAACCTCCTAACTTTCCACAAGGTTTAACATCGGATGACGACATAACGACGATGAGAAACATTAGATGTAAAGATGTTTATGTCATGAAGGATGAACATAATATTAAATTCACTGCTCAAGATTTATATGACAAGAAAGCAGACAAAACAGAGCTTCAAACATTAAAGACAGAAATACTTCAAACATTGTATCCTATTGGCTCTATTTATACGTCAATGAACTCTACCAGACCAGAAGTAGTACTTGGTTTTGGAACTTGGACTCAAATAGTCGACAGGTTTTTGTATTGTGCAAACTCTTCAAAGGAAACAGGTGGAAGTAAAACGATTTCAGGTGAAAACTTACCTGCGCATAGTCACTACATAAATTTAAGTACATCTGAAGCAGGTTTGCATAGTCATAGATTTTGGGATTGGTCAGGAATGACAAAAGGTAAAGGATATGATGTTAAAGAGGACGTTAAGTTTGCTATAAATTGTTACTGGAGTAACACTGAGGTAGGAGGAAGCCATACACATCGCGTTTCAGGTATTACGCAAACAACGGGACAAAGTAAAGACTACATGCCACCTTACATGACAGTTTACGCATGGTATA